CACCTGCCCGGGTCAGAGCCCACATACGGCTGGTGTTTGTGCTGTTGTTGTAGCGGTGGTGTAGTGTGTGTTGGGCGGGGTGGGGGGGTTGGCAAACGACATTATGGTGAAATAGGAAAACAGAGTTTCTCTCCGACAGGTTCATGTGATCCGGCAGCTATCATAGACAGACTTCAGGCATCATTTACTGCATTACACAGGTAAGGATGGTGTCGAACATTATCAGGCCACTGCTGTGCTTTAATTATACCCCAAAGTAATTGTGTTGACATTCTTTCATTCACCTTGTGATACTGAGTGATGATTGGAAGATTTCCCTTGTCTGGCGACTGAAAGGAAGGTGATGGAGTGTAATTATCAACAGCAAAATAATGCTGTTTACTTTCTTTGATTCACCGGCGATGATCATGACAAGCAGAGGACTTGGTCTATGTTTACAGTCTAGTGTTACTGATAATGCTAAAATTGTTGAGCCATTATTCCACTTGCTTGATGTTGTCCTCGCTATCAACACTGGCAATGGAAACTTGTAGGAGAAAACACGGGGCCTCAAGCTGAATTACCTTTTTTCTGGTCTCCACAGTATCTCTGCAGCTGTCAGCTCTGATGATAACCTCAGATGCATAAATACAGCTTTAATTTACAACATTTATTTGACAGCTACTAGCTACTATACTTTGCAGATTAAGATTTACCAATATATGATCATTTTATCATATATGATGCATTAAACTAACCAAATTTAGCTCCAACTTGACTAAAATTAAATAACTAATACATTTAAATAAAATACATACTCTGACATTCTGAAAGACACCAGTCTGCACAATGAATACTTATACTTTTGATAAATACGTTATATTTTACTGTTAAAACTGATTTCAAATGTCAGATTGCTACTTCTACTTAAAGGAATAGTTTGACAATTTGGGAAAAAGCCTTGTGGTGGTGTCCAGAGTCTGATTGACACCACTCTGGTAAGCTTAGTAAAGTACTGGTAATCATAATAAATAATAATAATAATAAATGTATCCACCTTATAGTACACAGCCAGTCCTTTGTATTGGTTCATATGTCCTGTGCCCTGTTTTCTGCACTTTGTCGCTCTGTTCTTTAATACCTTCTCTCTTCTGTCCTCTATCTTAACAACATCCTTTTCAAAGCTAACTGAAGACCAAGGGAAAATTATTTTCCCCTTTGCTGGAAAATTGTGTGTCTTCCGAAGGATGCTGTTTCTCCTGGAGGACAGGTTCCCCATCATTACCTTGAGAGCGCAGAGATCACTCAGAGAAGAGGGCTCTGAGTTATTTATTCGGCTCACATGCCCAAACACACACTGTTAGGTGTTCAGATATACAAAAAAAAACACACATAAATGGTAACACACACTAATGCTCACAAACACACTGCAGAGAGTGTCTGTTTCTGTCTTGAAAAAATGCCTTCAGGCTATGGAGGATCCAAGAGGCTATTATAAGAGAGAAGAACCAAGCTATCTGCCTTTAATGCTTTGAGCATTTTAGGGTTATGAGGTCTGAAAAACACATGCTGTTAAATAGACTGCATGCTGTAACTGGGGACACATGCCTAATCAGCAGGGAGTGGAATTAAATTAGATCAAATTGATTCATGAGCAGTTCAGTAATTATCAAGTTCGGTTTAGTCTAGCAAAGTTTTTAGCCATGCTAGCGACGTGGCTCCAGGGATGGTCGGTCTGTCCATTCAGCGCTTTCGTCCGAATAGCGGTGAACACAGTGGAGCAGCTAAAGAGTCAGAGATTTCCCTCAGGAGTTGGTAGAGACCAAAATTCCAGTTAAAAGAGAGTGAATATTGGCCAGCTGGCGAGAAACACGACTTTAAATGAATGATGTTGCTCTGTAAATGAATAAAAAATTAAAAAGCATATTGCCATATTGAAATCACTTTTTTGATCTGGGCTGAATACTGGTTTAAATACTTGAGTAACAGATACTCTATTCTGGAAAAAATGAAGACCTTAAAATAACACATTGAGTTTCTGGTGTCACACAAGCCATGACCATCATTATGACGCAGGTGGTAAGGATCTAAGAAACACTCAAGATACTTGTTTATTGCTGTCAGAAATGGAGAAGACAGGTCATTCAAAGGCTAACAGGAACATAAGAAACCCTAACGATCCCACCAAATTGATCCGCTGATTCGCTCAATAAAAACAAATGATCAGTCTTTGATTCCCAATCAGTCAACCTTCATCCACAAAATGAATTGGAATTATAGCAATCAATCACAATCAACATATATGCTGAATTGAATTTCACAGGGCCGAGGACAGTTGTGAATAATCTTCTCTCTTGCTCTTCCTCACTTACAGAACCACGAAGAAAAACGGACACTTCCCTTCTGCTGCTACAGGTGAAATCGAATCCAATTACAGCAATAAGTACCTGCTTAAGTAACCTGTTCATGAAGCTCTTGAGAATCATCCATCATGGGTGACTAAAGGGTTAAGACCTCCCACACTAACCCCCCCAGCCCATGAAACCAAAGCACTCATCATTGGCTCAGATAGAAGAAACAAGAGGATATACTGCCTTTAACGATGACTAACAATCAATTCCAATAGACTGACTGATAATGGTGTGCTTTAGAAAGAGAAAATCATCTGAAGAATGGTCTGTGACACAGCTTTTACGCACAGTAGGTCCTTTATAAACATGAAATGTATGGGTCTTTTCATGGTAGGACGGTAGTTTCTTAGTATGCTAATGGGAGTTAGCGTGACAACTGGTATACACCACTGGTTCCCCTATTCATCAGACCACTGTAGAGTTAAAGATGAAAAAGACAGATATATATCTTGGTACCTTTGCCAAAGATCAATCAAAAAATAAATGAATATCAGTAGTTGTGATGAGTAGTTTAGTAAAACCATGTTTCCTTAAAATGTTTATTTTTATATATAATGTATATAATCAGACATATAGGATAAAATCGAGATAGGACTTAAAGGACCCGTGTGTAACATTTAGTACCATTTAGCCATGTAGTTGTAGATTACAGCGCCCTAGCTTCACCCCCCTGTTATCAGTTGTGGGCTACTGTAGAAACATGGTGGTTCAACAGGGTGGTCAACGTGAAGATGATTCTTCTGTAGTTAAAAACGACTAAAACACGAAAACTCTTATTTTCAGGTAATTATGCACTACATAAAAAAGAATTAATATTATATAAATTATAAATGAATAAATGCTTTTTACTTGTAATTTATTACTTTAGTTGGCTAAGCAAGGTAGCTAACAACTATCTGTGAAGAAAAACAAACACAATGCTTTCAAAAGGTCTCTTTCACGGGCACTGCTCCCCCACCGACACAGATTATTCGGTTTATCCGATTAGGGATCAGATGAACACTACAACTGCATGAGCGCATGTTTTAAAATCCCTGGAGCTGTTTTTTTCCATTCACTTTGTATGTGACAGGGATAACTATGGCTAATTTCTGTGTAATTTCAGTGTCACTTCAGCTGCCATTATCACAGCGGAGAGACTCTTAACTGTATTTACACTTAGAACTCTGTGATACTGGAGAGCTATCCAATTTGCTCAAGATGCATGAAGTATTTGTATATACATTACATAAGTGAAACTGCATAATCTCTGTATTAACAGTGGCAATGGCCATGACTGGTCAATATAAATCTATAGTAATGTGATACCCATTAATGTGAAACTGTTGCCTGCAGTAAAGCAAGACAAGGCATAACAGGAGTGGAAGAAGAAAAAGTATCTTTGCTTGACTTAAACCTCAATGGGTAGAACCACACATCTTCAGAATACACATTAGCAAACTGGCAAACTTGGAGAGCGCAAAATCAACAAAATATTAACAGTTGCTGTCTTGTCTAAAACCCTATCAGGCTGTTCACTGCCAGCAGCAGATCAGCCTTTTGTCAGATCATTTCTTTGCTGCTACTTTTTCCAGAGCTGATGGAGGATGCCTCTGTATCACAGCCGATGTCTGCCTGCACAGCATGTAATAGCAGCCTAGCACCCTACTGCCATCCCAGAGTTATAACTTAGAGAAGTTAAATCTTACCCGGCAGTTACACGATCAAGCTGTCTGCCTGCATTGACTTAATTCGCAAAGAAAACACAAATGTTCTTTGGGTAAGCAAATGCACACACAATATTTCAAGCTTTACTGCTGTTTCGACGGTTTTGAGTACAGATTTTGTTTGGGTAGCAGAGAATGGGTCTTTAATTCGCTAATTTCTTGCGCCGTCACTCATTTCCTGAAGGAATAATGTGTGTTGATGTGCTTCTAAGACAAACTAGACTTGTCAGCCGCTTAACGTCGTCAGAGGCCTGCCATGTCATTGTGAGAATGATCAGCGTGTCAAGCAGTGAGAATCATTAGGATCAAAGGGGTAAATTGGAAGAGACATCAATAGACTCAAACATTGTATTTGCTCTTAAAGGTCCAGTGTGTAACATTAAAGAGGATTTATTAGCATAAATATAATTTAATATTCATTTTTTATTAGTGTATAATCATCTGAAGATAATAATTGTTATGTTTTAGTTAACTTAGTTGCCATGGAAGCCCAATTTTAAGCTGCCCAGAATGGACAAACCAAACTCCGGCTCTGTGTTTTGCAGAGTTTCTTTCATAAAATACCAATAAACATAGGAAACCTGGGTGTGTGAAGCATCTAACTGAAAGATCATAAAGATCCGGGACATTGCGCAAGCAGTTCAAAACAGTTTTGAAACCTGTTTAAATAAAAATTTGGAACGTGCAATAATAATGTTTTGGCAAAAATGTGAGCTTGTTTTGGGTGACACTGGACTTAGCAGAGCCTCTGTATGTCACCATCTGTCAAATGCTGTCTGGAGACTCTAACACAAACCCATTAGATCTATTACAACCCACACACATCGCCATCATATCCAATACAGCAAGACATGACACAAATGCTGAAGCACCATCCTCTTTTGATCTGGTTGTAGTCGCTTACCTTGGCGATTTGGACACACCAGTTGAGCAGCAGCTGCGATCCGATGTTGTCCTTGTGCTCGTGCACATAGTCAAGGAGGCAGCCGTGGGGCATGAGCTGGGTGACCAGCTGAATGGTGGGGCTCAGGCAGACGCCCAGCAGACGCACCAGGTGGGGGTGCTCCATGCTGGCCATGATCAGGGCCTCCTGGGTGAGAGGGGGGGGGGGGGGGACAAAGAGGGACTAAGAAGACTGTTGCATTCCATGGATGGAAATACAGAAATAAGTGACACAGTTCTGCTGTATGAAATATTTGATTTTCTGTGTGCATGTTGTTATCAGGAATTCCAATTTACAGGCTATTCCCTGAACAGATCTACCAGATAATAGGTACTCTATTAAGAGTGGCAAATATAGGAGTGAAATGTTATTAAAATCAGAAGGGACTTGACACCATGCAGACTCCACCATTGCCGAATGCTGTTAAGATGCAGGTCCTGCAATAGAGTTGCTAAGTGGGAAGGTCCTCAGGTTCCTTGAGTGTTTTTTCTCCATTCCATATACCCATTTAAATGTTTTCCTCGGTGTGACTTAACATAGAAAAGCTGAGAAAGGGTGGTAGCATGTTTGTAAGTGTGGCTGGTTTGTGACCCCTAAAGGAAAATAATGTCTTCTTCTGACCCCTTATCATAAGTTGTTAATAGAGGCTTGAAGAGGTGAGCGTGTGAATAAAGAAAGTGATATATTAGTGATAAATGTGAAAAAATAAAAAATATTGTAACAGAAGCATTTGGTGATCCCTTTAAGGGGCCTGACCCCAAGGTTAGGAAGCATCAGTGTAGAGATTCTATTGATTAAGAAATGTAAATTCAATGTCTACCCATGCATGTATCATCAATGGATAATACTGCACTGTATCCCAAAGACTTCCTACTGGAGGTGGAGTTAGATGCATAAATTAAGACTTGTGGGATAAAGACTACTTCTGCATGCACAGCATCTGTCCACAGAGTATTCTCAGTGTGCAAGAAAATGCTGCAGAAACCTTCTTCAAAGATGCACAAGTGCAGCCTTTTTTCATCTATATTTTACCCTGTATAAAACACAGAGGTTGTTACTGTAAATGTTGCACCAACAAAATTAAAACACAACAGTACGGATGGTACGTATTTAATAATATCTGGTGCTGTCTTATACAGAGTTATTATGTGTTTGATTTCTTAAACTTTATTTCGCTCCTGTTTTATATGGCCTGTAAGTGAATTTTCTGTCTTCCCTCTCATCTCTTTCTGCGGCAGATGGACGTAGAGGTTTGAACAGTTGGGACTCAACGTTGGGTAATTGTTATTGCAGAGCTGCAAGCAGAAGGATGTGTGGTGGTGATAGAGTGTGCATTATGGCTGAGCAGAAGCTGCACTCAGAGTCATTGCTTAAAAACACTCACTCCAGTCCTTCTCCGCATCTACTTTTGCATCTCTCTCTCTCTCTCTCTCTCTCATTCACACAATCTCACATGCACACTCTCTTGGCAGCTCTCTAAAGCACTCACGCTCACACACTCAAGGACACACTCTCTCTTGCTGTCTCTGCATACAGCAAATGGTCGAGGAGGTGTATATCCAGGCTTGGCCCCGGGGGCAGCTGATAGATAGATGAGGTGCCTTTTTAAATTTAGATGCTAAAGAATGAGCTTAGAGGGAGAGTGGTGGTGGTGTGGGTGTGAGTAGATTAATTCTAAACAGGAGGGGGGCCATAGGCCATAGAGAGCCTTTTGGCACCATCAGTGCCCTGATTTAAACAGAGCCTCCTGGCCCAAAGTAGTGCCACTACATCTCCACTTCATAAAACCACCTGCTTCCCCCCTCTAACTGCCCGACATTATACAACTCCAGCCACCTCTACACCAGGCGCACCTCACACCTCAGGATCAAGAGGGGAAGAAAAAGAGAGGGAGGAAGGGGGGGAGTGAAGGAGGATGTCTCTGTGTGTAACAGAAAGAAGGAGAGTGTGCTTCTATTCTCACTCTGTGATCCCAAAAGACCCAAAAGGGAGTCGTAAACTATCTCGGGCTTAAACTCTTGCTTTCTACTTCTCAGTGCAAGCCGTTATGAGGACCCGTGTGTTTGTGTATTCGTGCACTAGTGTGTGTGTGTGTGTGTGTGTGTTTTGGTTTCTCTCTCATCTCCCTGAGCGCTGACCTCCATTACTGCTGGCTGACCCTCCTTTCCCATCTAGCTCACTTGCTCACTTTCCCTCACACACACACACTTGCACACACACTGGGTGATAGACTGGCAGAGCCCTCTGAAACTGGCGCATGTTCAGCGAAGTGTGTGTATGCATCAAAACACGCTAAATTAGCGCATTAGGCCTTTGCATTTCACATATCAAATAATCAACTCGCTCACATATTTGCTAACACAAGCAAAACACCCTGCAGCTCTCGCATGCAAGGCCACCGCCACCTGGAGAGCCTTTTTGTTGTAAAGTGTGCGCTGTTTGGTTATGTGTGTGTGTGTGTGTGTGTGTGTGTGTGTGTTTATACGTGTGGATTTTCGGAGTGTGTTTGGAGCTGGCACTCCAACGGCTAGTCTCCCAGTGGCGAGGCGTGAGCCTGCCTTTAGATTGCTGTTTAACAAGCCGGCAGACAGAGCATATTGGCTCTGGATGGACAGAGACCCCCGCAGGGAGAAGCAGGGGAAGAGGAAGGGAGGGAAAGGAGGGAGGTGGTGGGAAGATGCAGGGACAGAGGAGGAGAGGAAAAAATTGGGCAGAAGGGGAAATAGAAGGAAGTTTCCACTGGGATGATGCTACACACGTTTGGCTTTTTTGACAGTAACAAATATTAAATAAAAACCTTCAAAAAGAGATTGATAATTGCTTTCTGTATCGTATCCAGCTAATACTGAGAATTAAGTTATAATTGATACTAACTCAGCCCTTTCTGCATGGCTTTTAGAATAAACAAATTTATTAAGAAGACAGACTCTAGATGACCTGACCATTGTAAACCCACACACAACCTGTTCAAGACGCTATCATATGCATATAACCTTTAACCTTGTTGCTAACAAAAAGGCGTGATAATGGTTGAAAGCTTTGTTGGGAAGTGTTTTTTTTTTTTAAGGGACAATTTACACCCCTGACAAATAGATCTGCAAACAATTATTTTCATTCTTGATTGATCTGATGATCGTTTTTTCAGTTGATTAACTGTCTATAAAATACAGAAAAGTATTTATTTTGTCCGTACAATATTTTACAACCAGAAGATATGTGTTTCTTAGGGGCTGAAACGGAATTCTTCGGCATTTGTGCTTGGAACAAGGTCTAAACAATGGGAATGATTGACAATGTAGTTGATTAATTTGAAGTCCAAATAATAATTTTAGCACTACTGCAAAAAACAACCACACACACCGGAAACTGATGTATAATCTTAAGAACAACAATAACGTTTTTACAAGAAAAAGACGGAGGCATGCACAGGAGAAGTCCAAAAACTGTACTCTAAGCATGCAAAATAAAAAGATGTATAAAAGAGAGAGGAAGAGGCTGGGAAGAATTGGAAACTCCCCAGCTTCCTCCCTTCCTCCTTTTCTTCTCTCCTCTCTCACGCCTGGATTCCAATAAAGCCATATCTCATAAACAAGTGCTGTTTTTTTAATAGAGTCTCGTTCAATACATGCCCGGCTGTACAGCCTAGTGGAGTTCACTTTATTACTGCCTCTGACTGAGATTGTACTCTCATAAGAATTTACCGCCAAATGCACAATCCCACAAAGTGACAGGCTCGGCCATGTCTTTGACAAGGCTAAGACGTTACGGCTCAGGCGCACAAACGTGAATACACACAAGCGAAAGTAGACACAAATTGTTGCAATATAAATACTCACGTCCATGAACTCCACGTTGGCTTTAGGGCCGGTGGTCTCGTTGAGGATTTTTATGGCCACAGGGATCTTCACTGTCTCGCCCTCTGGGACCCAGATGCCCTGAAATATACAAGCAATCACAATAAATGCACTGCTCTCTCAATAAACATGCTCACAGTGAGGGCCCTGATGATTTTGATGGGCGCTGCCTGTGTTTAATGACGTCTACTCTCCTACTAACATTCCTCAGGTCGGATAAATCAACACCTGCACATGCATGAACCCTATACTTGTGGTCAAGGAATATTGTGCGTTTAGTTGATTATGGATAAGCTGCAACCCTGCAAAAAGCGTCATGAGAAACATCTACTCACAGTATGGTGCCTGAATGGGACTATCTGCTTTCTGCTATAAGCTAAGAGCTCTGGAAAATAATAAGGGCATAAATTGATGTGGGACTATGCGTGCAGATTAATTGTAGTAAAATATGGCTATAAAATCGAATAGGCCCATCAATATTGTAAGTGAGAGGAATTTAGAGCTGGTGGTAGAAAACGCAGTGTTTATTCAATGAGTTTGCTGAATTTCGGGGTGGTATGAATAATTTTACCAAGGGCAGTGAAGTTGGCAAGCAAACAGCAGTTTCCGTTCCAGGTCCTTGAGCTGCCCTAGGCTCATGTCTGTCAGGAAACACTGTTACAAAGGGAAATGTTTATGCTTTTTGTTTAGGTTGTCAAGCAGGGCTGTTCTACCAATGAGAGGGCAGTGTCTATTGAAAGAAACTTTGTGCTTGAGTGTCTTCTTTGCCATTTAGCTGACTCACTGGTGTATAATGTGGCACCACATTTGAATGAGGACTGTGTGAATTAAACACACACACACACACACACACACACACACACACACATTAACAGACACTTCTAAACGCAGATACACACACTGACCTTGTAGACTGTTCCAAAAGCCCCCGATCCCAGAATCTTGACCCTCTTCAGCTCTGTTTCTTTCAGGATCCGCAGCTGAGCCTGGTTAGGGGCTGTTCCACTGGGGGTCAGTGGCTCCACCAGCTGACAAAACACACAAGACAGGCTATTTATCCCACTCAGCACCTCTTTTTGTGGGTGCCAAAAATATAAAAAGCATTCCTCTCGATCCCTGCTTTTATTGTGAAACAACAGACATGCCTCTCTTTTGCTTCAAGACAAAATATTTTAACCTCTTGGTACTGTGAATGCAGTGGGGTGAAGCTGCTCCATTTAAAATAATAAGTAAAAAGCAAGTCTTGGAAAGAGAGGCGCAAGGTGAACATGAAGGTTTATTTGCTGCAAATAAATAAGCAGCCAAAAACAGCCACTGCTCTGTCCTGATAGTCATGATTTTACAATACACACATGCGTTTATGAAATACAAATAATTCAAGGGGTGTGAACGTGAAGTTCTGTCGGAACTGGCAGTTACCAGTGTGGACCACAGTGTGCCCAACCACTGAACAAATCGCAGTCTGGTGTCAGCTGCTATCACAAGCGACAAAGAGTAGCTGCCTACCAGCTGTGCACATACAAAACAATTCCAATTCAAGGTTTTGACAACCCTCCTCCGTGTGCCTGGCTGCCAGGAACAGCTGACACTGAACAGCATCCCAGCAGCTGGCCGGGCCACCCGCCTCACCGCTAGCCGCTCGACAAAGCCTCGGCTACTAAATATAAAGAGCAGGAGCTGGCACCTGCAGCCGAGCTGTGAAAAGATCTGAGCCACATACAGATATATACACACAGATATACACACATTCAACCAGACAGCATGTAGAGCACATCTCAGAGCACATCGCAGATACTTGCATGTACAGTACACAGATTCACAAATATTGACAACACATGCAAATTCACGCTATAAACATTAAACACACTCAAAGCACATATCAGACCACAAAACACACGTCCACACACACACACACACGCACACACACCTCAAGAAGTCAATGCCTCTGATCAATACATGTCTTAATGAGCCTATCAGCCTACCGGGTGCCTCATTCACTGCGGTTTATCAGCGGCATAATCACCCAGCTCAACCACGGCCATCAAACAAAATAATGAGACCATATATCAGTCGGTCAGCCATACAAGCGCTCACTTAATGTGATATAAAACCATCAGCACAATAGGGCCGGCGATCGCAAAAGCCACGCCGGTCCGCAGAATGGATGACATTGCCCGCAGCTCTGCAATGACATGCCGTTTAATGGGTATTGTTATGGCTGGGCCTGAAGGCGCCAGAGCAAAGCCTGCTGAGATGTCACTGCAGGAAGTGAGTTAGCAGACGGAGCAGGGAAAGGAGGATGAGGGATAAATATTGAGGGAAGTGAAGGAGATGGAAGGAGGAAAGAGGCAGCAGTGAGGGGATGGCTGAGTGATGGTGTAATAGTGAGACATCATTGAAAGCCTCCATCATTTGGTCCATTGTGTTCACTGAGACCTTTTTTTTCTTGAAACAATTACCAGATATTATCATATTATGGTGAAAAAAATGAAAGGAGAGGAATCAAAAGCTGCATAATAGCTACTAAATGGACCTTGAGGTGAAATTGTTTTGTCAAATACTATTTCCATGGTCAAGAATGAACCATATCTCAACCGAGAAACAAAGAAGCTACTGCACTGGGAATACGTGGCAGTAGCTCTCTTGCAAATGCTTTATTTTTCCCAGGGTGAAAAGCAGGGTTTATGCATATTTAACCATTTACACAAGTGGGAATTTTAAACAATACTCAACATATTTAACTGTGCCAATATTTTAGCCATAAATAGCAAGGGTTCTCCCTACCACTTTCTAAAACATCCTACTTGCCCCACCGAAAAATGTATGTTCAAATTCCAAGTTATATAACGTTCAATATTTATAACTAAATAAGTAGCAATAAAAAAAGAGTTTAACACTCCAAAATGCTAACTATTTAGTTAGTGAGCTAACAATTTACATTGCTGATTACAATGCCAACGATGATAAATGTGCACTGTCCTCTATAAAGGAAAAACTAAACAACAAACAATAACTTCTGGGTTGTCAGGTTGTGGAAAATCCATTAGATATATCCTCCAGCATAACTTGGTTTGTCTTTTTAGTTACCGTAGCCTTTCCAGTCCATCTGCAAGATCCTTCTAATGCACATTTTCTCCAATGGCATGTGCACATGCAACCCCAGTTGGGTGCACAGACAGGAAAAGAAGAGGTTGTTTGCCTACTGAAATTTGTTTGCAAGAGTTAAAACGTTGCATCAAGTTTTTGGGAGCTTACACATTTCAGTGTGTGGACAGCCTTCATATCCTTAAGACCAACCTGTCAATCTAAAACTCTCCACTGAGACGCATATATTCAGTTAGGTGGGTTTAGCAGCTCTAAGTGACATATTAAGCGGTAGGGTTATTGTGCTAGGCCTTCAATTGAAGTATTAAATTACATGGAACCACTGACTGCCGACTTTATTTACCTCAACAGAAAGGACTTTGCTCACATCCTTCATATCAGCCTGATATTTGGGCAAAGAGCAGCATTTGCATCATTTGTTTCACAATCACAGCATGAATAGCAAGAAAACAAGTGACGCTGTAGGAAGAGAAAAATGGAGCACGGACGGAGCAGTAGTGAGAGCAGATGGTGACTGGCTGTAACTGTTATTGTTTCATTAGGACGAGGCTGGACTGGACTGATGAGGGGAGGACAGGAGAGGTCTATTAAATAAGATGCACACCCATGGCCTGCAAAATTCTCCTTCTGACTCACACACACTCACCACGCCACTTTATTTGCCAGCTAATAATGCGCCTTGCCTTTGCCAAATGAGCTCCGCTGGTGCCGCGGTGGAGAGGATTCAGATGCTTCAGTGGACAAATAAGCAGCATGTTCGAGCCTCGAGCTAGAATACATTGACAGAATTATCCTGTATTGAATAAGTAAACAGCATCCCCAAACACAAACTTGCAGTGCAAGCTCAAACAAATTACACTACCCATATTAAGTAACATTGTGGTGTTTTCTAATGAAATCAGGTGAAACAAAATTGCTGTGTCAAAAACCTTGACCTTAAGTGTGGAACTATGCATGTTAATTTTTCAATGAAACTTTGTTACCTTCAAAATTTTGAATACTGCCCTGGTTTATTCTACAAATACAGAACAGAACAGAAGTAGCAAAAATGAATTGCTCTCTGTATAGTATGGCCTAATGATGGTAAAATATGCTCATGAGATTTGCTTTTCCTATATAAGAAAGGTACAATGCATGACTGATGCATGAGAGTAAGCTTCTAAAATAATAACCCTCAGATCAGGAATTTAATAATGCAATGGTAACGTTTGGGCTGGACAAACTTGCTGCAGGCTTGAAAGGTTACAAAACAGACCATTTGCGGCCTCACATTTTACACACTTATTTTGCTCTTGAATTTGGGGTATCTGGAGTATGTAAAATATTCTTGTGCTATGCTCAGGGACCCACAATGACACAGAGTCATTGAGAGCACATTAAGACAATTTGTGCATGATAGCAAGAGAGTGGGCTTATCAGTATGCAAGGACATTCATTCTCGGTATTAGTGAGCCCATACCAGCAGCACTTCTCCTCCAATATCTGCATCTAAAGAGCAGAGCCTTTAACTGTACTGTAAGTTACTAAAGATTAATTCCTTTGGAAATCTTCCCCTTCAAATTTTAGGAGTTTAAGTGTTTGTAATTATAGGTAACACCCAGGCCAATTAACATAGGCACAGTTAATGTTTTAATTTTCTTCTTGCTAAAGTATAGTCATGCGACCCATACCTAAAAAGAAGTCTGACAAGGCAAAAGACACAAGCGTTTAAACTAGGAAATCGGTGTGCATGCAAAACTATAAATAGGTCGAAGTTGAACCAAGAAGCGTGGTTATTTTTTCTACCAAATAAGTTTGAACCGGTCTTACTTCTGTTTCTTGCTCCATCTGCTTCATTAATACCACAAACTACTAAAATGGAATTAAATGTCTCTTTCTCCTAGCTTTCAGTGCCTCATTCCAGATGTTTGGCATCCTCAAGGATCCATATTCTTCATATATTTTTCCAATCTATAATTATTATCATCCTGATTGTCCATTCTGTGATTTTACTTTGGTTTATTCTGTACACTTGCCATCTATCTATTGCACGTCTGTCCATCCTGCGAGAGAGATTCCTCCTCTATTGCTCAATCTGAAGATTCTTCCACTTTTTCCTCCATTAAAGGAGTTTTTCCTAAGGGTCTAAGGATAGAGGGCGTTGAATGGTGCACAGACTGTAAAGGCCCCCTGAGGCAAATTTGTGATACTGGACTGTATAAATAAAACTGACTTGACTTGACAGTATTTAGGACAGAGACCAAATATAAACAAATTCACAAACCTAATAAAATATAAAACACAACAAAAATAAAAGGCTTTTTTTTGGCTGTACCTGTATATTAATATTCCAAAGACAAATTTGGTATCAATCACTGGAATTTTGTCTTAAATTTAACATAAGCTAAAGTATATTTGAACAATGCTTGGCTGTACTACATGCATTTGTAATGACATCCCGCGCCTCAGCTCAGTCAATCTGCCCTCGGGTGAACAACGGGAGCTGTCCAGCTCCCCCAAACGCTGAAATCCTTCTTGTAAGAGAGCATGTAAGCAGCGTGGGAGCTGTCCACCGCCTGTGGTGCTGAAACACTCACATGGCCCATGTCTGTGCAAAGCAGCTGAAAGAGGACCTTGGAGGGTGGGTGGAGAGGGGGCGATTCTAAGTGCATTAGTCCTGCTTCGTTGGACTGGGGTCAAAGTCCAAGGCCTGGGGTCACGCTGCTCCAGTGAGGGGACTCAGACGCTGTTTGTGCCGTTTCCCCCCGCGAAAAGCAATTTCTTTCCGTGGGCTCCTTCAAGAGCCGCCACAGTGTGGGACTTTTTTTTTCTTATACTTTCTATTTTTCTTTCAAGGTGAGAGAGAGAGAGAGAAGGAAAAGAAAAGAAAAAACAAAAACAGAAAGTTAAAAAGATAGAAGAATAAAGTGTCTGTGTGCAACGGAGACAGACAGATGAATGGAGATAAAGAGATCAAACTGGAGAACCAAAAAAGAGGGAGAAGGTGAAGATGCAGGAAAAGACAGAGAATAGTAAAACAAAGAAAACAACAAAGAAGTGTGTTTTGCAAGTCAACATAGTGTCCTTGATATGGAAATGCAGGCCGAGTGCTCAAATCACGTTTTGACAGCGAGTACTGGAGGCATCTTCTTCCTGTCTGACACAAGAGGTGAGCTCTCTGTTTAACAAGCTATTGCAGATAGGGAGAGAGAGGGGGAGTCCCAGAGCCTTCTCGCTGTCCCCAAATCCCTCATCCTGACAAGCTTGATCTCCATTCACAGACACAGACTCAGCTCTATTATTCGTTTGAATAGAGAATCCACATTCGCCAGCCGTCCAAAGCCTATCGTGTGCTTTCATCAGCCAAAAAGAGCCCCTGGAAAGTGTGATGCAGACTGCGAGGAGTGCAGTTTTTTGGTTTTCTTTAGTATGCCGGTTGGCTGAGAGGGGAGAGCAGCATTCAGATGGATAGTGAATAGGGGAAAGAGGAGTATCTGTGTGTAGGCATGCAGTGTGAATGCACATATTCATATATTCAAGGAAAGAATTTAAACTCCAGAGTGGTGTGGGGAAGCTGATGCCTTATGAAATGAGTGCTGGCAACAAAATCAAGCACATTATGCTTACTGGAGGCCTATGACCACTGCTTACAAAATTCGGATTTTTGTATAGCTGGATTTTCATTAAATAGATTGAAACCCTTCATTTTGTTGGCTCAATTACATATTCACAATGGAAGAAACATTCAGATCCTTTACCTAAACCTACTACAAAGAGTATTTAACTATTATGAACTAAGTTAATACTGATGCCTGCATAAGGCCTCTGAGATGCGGTGGACCGTTGACCCACAGCTCCGTTCTTCATTCAGCTAAATGCTCTTAAACGGAATGACCTCCAAACAGTGAGCAGGTCCAGTGTCTCTTTCAGGACACCACAACAAGGCTGCTAATGTGCGTGCACAAGGGCCATGGTGGAGACTGACCCCATGACCTACCTTTAATGAGTGGTCTGTCTAACCTGTATGCCAACCTGCAAAGATTCCATTACATCTAATTACTATTACACCCAATTAGGTCTCCTCTGAGGATGGGAAAATTGACTCAGCCGGCTATATTTCACGTTTTCCTGGTGGAGTATTGAGTCAACCTTTGCAGGAGCACAAATCAGTCACAGGACCACTTTAAACAGGGAGATGAAAAAGGGGTCAAGAAGATCCCCCCTCTGGCTTGATCCTCCCCTGCCCCTCCTTCTCTGTGACAGTACATTAGCAAATCTGCTCGGACTGAAGACTTCCCTCCCGGTCAAGAGGCTGTCGGAACAGGGCCCGGTTGATTAAGATGGATGTGTGTGGCTGGGATGAGGCAGAAACTGCCCGTGGCCGGCCTCCTCCAATTCCCGTCTCTAGCCTGACAGCTGTCTATAACACTGTTGCCTCTACCTGTAAATTATACTAATGCAGAATGACAAGCAGCCTGCCCCACTCCTATAGGCAAGGCCACTCAGCGGACCTGCAGTGATGACATAACTGCTGGGCCACGCACAGGAAACACGGGGGGGGGAGTGTGTCTTGTAGCAGCAGAAAGGTGATCAACCTGAACATGAACGTACACATAAACCCTGCACTCACCTACACCTCCAACTTTGACTTTCTCCTTTGAATATAAAGTCTGCTCCGCTCTCTAATGCTTCCCAGAAATGAACCCTCTTCAAGGCCGGATCGATGGGTGACGGCAGCCATGCATAATTTTAAAGTTTGGCTAAGTACCATAGCCAAGGTTTGATGTTTCAAGGTTTGCTTATGAGTCTAGTTTGGTTGGCATCCGTCTAGAAAAAAAAAATGTGCCGCAACTTTGAGGTACAGGATCTCTAACAAACTCAAAGGAAGTGGGAGGCACAAACTGAGGAAATGAGATTGAGCAAAAGTGCCTGGTCGAGTTTGTTTGTTCAGTTTAATTAACCAAACTCCATAACAAAACTTTGCCTTGTTCATTTCTTGTCACAATAACAGTAAGTGTTTCCCAATTTCCTCTCTGGGATCAATGAAATGAATTATACTGTGGTTATTCGTTTGATGATAATACAGGACAAAGCTATTCATTTATGGAGCAGTTAATTCTCTGATCTAGCACTCTGTGAACGAGCTCAAGGGGAACAGTGACTGAACAAGCCTTTCCTGTAAAAACAACTGATCGACTCATGTTGTCCTGATGACCTCTACCCTCTCACCTCCGTCTCCAGGAAGCGTCGCAAGGCCCTCTTCTTCTTGATGCTTTTGCGCCGAACATAAACGGCCACGCTGAGTGCCAGGATGACGATGATGAATAGGCCGCCGATAATGCCAGCTGCTATTAGTGGTGTCCTGTAGAGACAGAGGAAGAGGAGAAACATTAAGAAACTAAAAGGCACTTTGAAAGAAAGTGCTAACCTCAGCCAACAAATTCTCCAACCGGCTGTTATACCAAAAAAAACAAAACAGCCTTAGCACTTCAGATTTAACCCTGTACTTTTATCATCTTCAGCTTGATTGGCTGCATATAAGAACTGTAATGACAGGGAACCTTTACCATCATTTAAGAGATCCAATGAAACCAATGGAAAACAACAACCATGAAAAGATTTATTTTCAGCATGTCCAACTACTGTACCACTGAGAAAGAAATAGAGGCAGGAAAAGCTTGTTTTTACTCAAGTGTGCTGTTTGTTGCACGCTTGAACAGCCAATAATAGCCCCTCTGTTGCTCTTGCATACCTTGTCTCATCTGTGATGACCGCCTTAACTGATGCTTGAGTCTGTCTCATTGAGCAATCCCATCCGTCCACCAGCAACTATCTAAGAAGCCCTCACATGACTGTTAATAGCTTCCCACTAATTATATCCTCAACTCAAAAACTTCATTTGGAACCACTTCTCATTTCGTAGCTTCTGTTTACAAATCAAAAAAACAAGCTGAGACACAGAAGCAAAAGATGGGCTCCAGTTCCAGTATCATGTTTCCAAATAGGCCAATCCTACAGAGCACAATGCTATTTCCGAGTAAGGGATGCTTCCATTTTCACAGGTCAGAAGACAAAAAGCCTTTAAGGCTATGTGCTATTACTTGGGCTGGTGGAGAAGCTACAGCGTGTGCTACACTGGACTGGACTTCTTTATATTGCAGTCAGATGCCTCTAACATGAATATTATCACCAGAGTTGAAAACTTTCTTGCTTTTTTTTTTCTAAATTTGAAATTTATTTTGACAATAAGGCAATAAACTGTTAAGAAAAGGCAATTACTAAAATACAACATTTGAAAACGATACAACACAATACAGTGTCCTGTACCCTCTCATACTGATGCCAATGTTGCTTTCTGATCATGTATCTTTATATTTGTTCAATAAATTACTTTTTAAAGATACTCACTGAGCTACATGTTATTGATTCCTCGCTACAGCTTTTCCATTAATTCAACATACTGGTCCTTACTAATTAGCTTTTTGAACATGCAAATATCTCTTCAGATTCCTTTAAGGTATTAGTTGATTTTTAACGCCAGAATTGAGCTGTTTTCTTTATAAGGTGAAATACCTTTTACATCCTTTTATTTTTCCCCATACTTCCTGACGTATAGGTAACAGTCAGTATTTAATTTTAAACAGTATTGCAAATGAATTTGAAAGTTTGGCTTTGATGTAATTTTCATGTGGTCTCCAGCATAATTTATTATCTATTATCACTCCAAATAAATGAGAAATTAAAAGTGCCCATCTTTCACAAATTGCTTCCGAATCTTCTGGGGAACAATCTGCTTCAGGCGAGCCTAAAGGTTGGAAGTTAAAAGCTCTTTCTCGTCACTAATGATGGCACTAATGCATTTGCCATTTACAGACCTCTTGCACTCGTGTCTACTCAATTTTATCCTTCTATTATTCTCTCTTCCTTTATCCTTCCTCTCTTTCCATTTTCCCCTCCCCACTGGTGTCAGAATATTCTCTGCCCCGTGTTTATTCTTTTTTAAAAACACATCACATAGCATTAAACAGCACCTGCTTCTACGCTGATACTTGAAGTTTAAAACTCTATTAGCTGTAGAGGCCATTAACAGCTAATGGAAGACTCATGTACTATGGAGCTATGGTAGAGCAAGGTCCCGCGGCGTTTGCCATATTGATTGTGAAGAACCAAAAGAAGGGGGGGGCTCTGTGGGTTTCGATATAATGAGATATACAGTCATGTGGTGAATAGTAATCCAGCAGATTGGAGTGATTAGGTCAAGAGGGGGAAGAGAGACAAGGAGAAACAACAACAATGGAAAGAACCATATATATAACATGGAGGAAAAAGAGCAAAGACAAAACAACTTTAAAAGGAACAAAGGAAGGAGAATTTACATATAGCTCAGGTGACGAGAAAGAAGGGATGGAAGGGAGAGACAGCAGATGGAAAAAGAAAGAGAGAAACTGCTGGTGAGACAGATAATAGTGTGAGACAGCTCTATAGGTGAGAGACAAGGGAAAGGACTTCTCTAATTAGGAGGAAAGGGTTTACAGCAGAACAAGCGACATGGGGTCACCAGATGAGACATGGGAATAATGTCATTGTAAGAGCAAAAGAACAACTCTGGGACTAGAGACTCAGCAGTAGTCTACCAGAGGGAGTAAAAAAGGTCTCATCTCTGTTTCCTCTGTTTAAAGGGAGCCCAGAGACCCCCTTTTATGGGTCTGCTGGTTTGGTTAAATTCTAATGAGTTCGTCACTCTATTGAATGTGCTCTAATTGTATAGATCACTTGTTTTTATGGGTATTTTAATAGAGTTGTTGTGTCTCCAGGCTATTTAGGTTGTGCGGCTCTTCACAGACTCTACCACACTTTTTCTTGAATCTACTACGTTATAGTTTGTTTATACTATTGTAATAGTAATATCAGTAGCTTTGTTAGTAGTAGTAGAGGCAGTGCAGTAATGTAATAACATGCTTTATATTTTTGGGGGCTAGCCCATGTCACAAGTCAATTCAGGTCTGTAAATAGTGACCATTAAAAGGCAAATGTATACTACTAGTAATAAATAGAAAAAAAATAGACATAAAAGTAAATAAATAAGTACAACAGATAAAGTTTCACCCTTTAAAACACTATGTAAATTATCAATAAATAATACATTTCAATTGATGTGATTCACAGAGGTTCCATTGGAGCATATAAACTGTGGCACAAATTAGACAACAAAATTCATTTAAAGTTTAGACCATGACAAAAGATTCCTAAGTCATCCATCAATTATAAAATACAGAACTCCCTGCACTCTTGTTAATGAGTATCGTGAGTAATTTTAATGAGTAGTGGCAGGATCTGATGGTGGTCTCCCAGTCCAACATTACAGATGTATCCTGAGATCCCTTACCTGTCCATCATCCCAACACAATCTTGGAGTCTTGGCCCGACACACCTGCAGGGTAGACAAACCAGAGAGATCATCCATTAAACCAGGGACAGGTTATGAGTAAACCTCATGTTGTCTTTCTTCACCGTCAATCAACTGTCACTGAGTAAGGACCTGTGGAAAATTGAATCCAGAGCACGGCTGACCACTTGTCAAAATGACAGGAAGAAGCGCTTGGGTGAGAAGCACTGTTCTTGTTTGTTTCACGTGATATTTAAATTAGACTGAGAAAATGTTTCTGCATCATCTGGTGCCTCTGAGGTTTTTCTAAACAAAGTGGTGTTAAATCTTAAATTAACACAACAGTCTGAATCTCAATCAAATACAACTAAGGCTACCTTTCAATATTTATTAAAAATGAACATCCTCTATAGAAGTAGTGAGAATATCTTTAAATAATATTTGTTTCTCCATTGAGTATGTGTCTGTTAGGTATAGACATTTTGGGCTTGCTGTTCAGGATGAGATGCAGATGTTAGGTCAGTGTAGGTGGCATGTAGATGATTATATTCTAGGATATAATATATTGAGCCTTTTACGGCTGTTTTAATACTGAATAAATACCAATACAATACACCTACAGCAGGATTTTGCACAGGCCTTTTCCAAAAATACAGCAGCAGGAGAAATACTTCTACTAGATTCTACATTCTATAGCATAGCAATATTGTTTTCTACTCTAATCCCTTCTTTATTTTGTTTGTACGGTCAAAAGTTCATTAAACCCTTAAAGCTGCTCAAACAGTCATCATGCTATGATTGCTTTTTTGGGGTTTTCCTACTTTACTTGTTCACTGTCACAGGGGACAGTTAGCAGATAGCTGGTGAACATAGTGGCGCATTTAGCAGCTAATGAGCCAGATACTTCCATCAGGAGTTGGGGGAGACCAAACACAGAGCTAAAAGGAGGTGACTGAATATTGGACTTACATTCGTCAGGTAGTCAAAAGCACGACTGTTTGCTCACACGTTTGCAGAATCAACTTGTTCAGTTTTATTTCAATTCGACTCTGATTCAAGGACTTCTCTCTCTTAGTTAGCATCGTTAAAATCACTTTTACTTTCGTTCCAAATACTTGAATCTCTTGTTGTTACCACCTCAACAATCAAAGCCACTGGAACATAGTGCTGACAACACGCCCTTCAGTGAGAAGTGGAGTTTTTACCATTACGTAAGCAGGAAGTGATTAGAGCAGACTCTTAGCTGCTCATTAATTCTAGCTCCTTGAGTAGAGGACTTTGAACAGCAGGATAGACACAGGAGAACAGTTTTTGAATGCTTCTCTGTGTGAGTGTTTTGTGTGTGTGTGTGTGTGCAAGCTGCACAAGCTCGCAAGACACAACAAATTACATAGCAAATTAGGAGAGCAGGCTAACTTTGGAATTAAATCGGTGACAACTGTGGCTCCTCCAAAGTCGCTTCGTTGTCAATTAAATGCCGCACCAAATAGCTAATTAGAGAGCAATCAGTGTCTGTATCCAATGTGGTGTGTGCGTGGACTGTGTGTGTGCAAATGAGCCACATAGTTCCCTTCCGAGAGAACAAAGGAGTGGTCTGATAAACATTATGAAGCAGGCACAGCACAAAGTATACGCATTTAGACAGTGGTGCCTTTCAGAAAAAGTTGCATTTGTTACTTTTTTGACAGTAAGGTAGGGCAGTAGTTTTAAAAGTATGACACTGTGGCCCCCCAGTCAAAATGGAGACCAACGAGCCACTTACCACAATTTGAGAGATCATGTTTTGGAACTAGAGTTCTCATCATGCTTCAGGGGCTACTACTATAGACGTATTATAAGAACTAGACACAACTCAAAGTGCAAACAAGTTCAATTATGAATCTTTTATGAATTTTTCTGATCAATCGAGGTTTTATATTTGTAAAATTAAAAAAATCCTTGACATCATCACAGTCTGGGCTGAGCAGGAACTCGAGGGCGGGGCCAGGGGAGCAACACCACTTTCAGTGGGGTAAGGGAAACCCAAAAGTGACAAAACTTTGTGGGTTCATGCGCCAGGAGAGTAATTCTCATTGTGTTGAATAGGCGCAATTATGATGTCTGGTATCTAGTTCTATAATGCACTTATGGTTTCTTTTTTGTCTTATACTTGTTAACATTTTGGCCATTAAAAGTATGAGCTATTAGCACCTCCCTTAGCTGCCGTGACTGTGTTGATAAGCAGCCACAACCACATCTATAATAACTAACTTTTGGTTTTCACACCGGCATTCAGCAGTCCATTTCACCTCACACAGTGTCTTTGCTTCACACCTCTCCCTCTGCATCTCCCCTTCAACTCTCCGACGCCGCCCTGGGGAGGTGCGACTCACAGTTTGAAAACCTCTGAGGCAGAGTAATGAGGCCACTGGTTTGACCATCCGCCACCTCTTTACCGGCTGTAAGGGTGCTGTTCTGTTCCTGACACTGACCTTTGACCTCTGAAATGTCCCCCTTTGGCCTCAAATACCTAGCCTCAGCTTCTGTCTTGATCTTAATCCAGATGATGGAGGTGTTGTCATGCCAACGACATTTGTGTGTCCGTAAGAATGAAAGCCGTCATGGGGAGAATTATAACCTCACATGCATCTTCTCCTCTGCTTTCTACCTTTTCTCCCTCCAACATCTCCCATCCATTGTGCTTCCCTTTTATTTACTCCCCCTCCTTATTTAGAAGCTCCAACGCTCTGCCTCTTTAAAGCCGCACCGATGTTATCCACACTTACAGGGTAGCCGCAGAAAAATGCATGTACAGCGAGCTCTCACTATAGTGCTGTAAGCCGAATACTTAAATGTCTTTATTTTGTTTGGGATGCCACACAGAGAGGAATCTGTCCTGTAGTTAAAATAATACACCATAATGAGGTAACTCTGGACCTTATGTTCCTCCAGGGTGTAAATCTAGAAATACTTTATGATCATTTTATGCCCATGTGCAGCTTTCCTGGTGACCTTTTGCTCCAGTAAAGTAGTTTAATTTGTGACTTCATGTGATCACAGAAGATTAGGGTCGCTCTTTTTTCCAGACAGCATGGGTTTTTCTAGAACCACTTCTTAAGGCATGTCTTCTACCTACTCCTTCCCTTGCTCTTCGATTTCCCACTGCAGTCTTGGCCCGTCCCACTGTACACCCCCCTCCTCCATCTCTCCCCTCTAGACACTGTCTGTCTGCACCTATCCCTTCATTTATAGTTCATCTTCACTCTACTCCACATGCCCTAAAGGGTCAATGCATTCTGCCCCTGACCGACTGGACCCCAGAGACCAGCTACAGGTCGCCGAATCTAGCGGCTGCAAGATAAAGTCATCTTCTCTCCCTCTCTCTTTTTCTTTCTTTCTCTCCTTGGGAGGGAGGCGCCGCATGTCCAATGCAGTATGTCTTCACAGTGCTTTTAAGAGCATAAAGGCACCTTAGCCAGAAGAACGCTCAGGGAATTACTTCGGAAACACTTAAAAGAAATGCATTCATTTTTATACACAGACACACATCTCTATGTGTCATTCCTCTCTTACCCCTGGGTGCAGTTGGCATGGCAAGGATGGCACTCGTTGTTGGCCTTGGCGTATTTGAAAATGAAACTGTTGGCCCCTTGCAACCCATCAGGGCACTTCTCCACACAGTTGGGTCCATCTTTGAAGTGGAGGCATTTTACACATTGGTCCGGGCCCTGAGAACACACCAGAACAAGGAGGAGGGAGATGAGAGGATGGGTTAGAAGGAGGCAATGGACAAGGGATGAATAAAGAAAAAAGAGGTGGCGGGTGCAGTGAGGCGATTAGTAAGATGGAAAGGCGAGGAATGAACAGACATATATGAATGTAAGACAAAATTATGGGCAAAGAGGTGAAGGGAACCAGCAGCAAAAAATAAAGTTAGGGAAAATGTAATGGGATTAGACAAGAGAAAAGAATGGAGATATAGAAAAATGTATGAGAGGAAAGAACAGAATTGAACCGAATCAAATTCAAACCTGGAAAATCATGTCAATTTGCTGACTTCCTACCACGGCTAATGTAGGCAGGAGACACATGAATTCCATTCAGTGATTTATAATGTGTTGAGCAAAATTGCCAAGAGTGTATTCAGCTGCACCCCCTGTTAAAATTGGCAAAATGCATAAGGAATCAGGGCATGTCAAAGTGCGGCACATCAAATATGACGGAGGAGATGACAAGTGGTAACTGAGCACAAGCTCAGCTGCAACAGGATGAATAAGTAAGATGGAGAGGGGTGCGTGTGCGTACATGTGTGTGAAAATAGTAAGAGAATAATTGACTGTTGTGTGTGTGTGTGTGTGTGTGTGTGTGTGTGTGTGTGTGTGTGTTTCATGCTTGTGCAAGAGCTGAAGGGGTGTGTGTGTGTGAACTTGCGCAAAGATGGTCGGGTGTGATGGCGTGCGCGTGTATGCCAAAAGCTCTGTTGTATTCTTGCGCTCCGTTGCTAATGACGACCGCAGTGACCTGACGGACAGTCTCTCGTAGTCTGACACATTGAGACACACGGCATCAATAAACATTATTCTCACTTTGCATGTTTGTGTGTGTGTGTGTGTGCGAGTGCGGACGCATACAGATGTCTGAATGCATTCAAGTATGTCTGCGTGTGCCGTTCGCATGTGTATTTGTGTGTGAGAGCGCCTGTGGATGATTGACTCTGGTGTTATTTACTACTCAGCTGTGACCAGAATCTCAAAGTCAGCAGCCTCTGTGCATCCTTGAGAAGAGTCTCTCTCTCTCTCTCTCTCTCTCTCTCTTCATCTCTTATTCTCTCTCTGCCTGTCTACCTCTGTCTTGAGGGGCAGTCATAAAAGGTTACTCACACAGCTAACAAATTGCGCAAAATAAGTCATGCATAGATACAACTTTCTGTGATTTAACACTGCAAATGTAAAACGTATGGTAGTTCAACAGTCGTTTCAAAGCTTTTTGGCTCACAACCCCTAAAGGATAATGGTAAAGTAATCAAACCAACAATGTGCTAGTCCGCCTCTCAGTACTTTCACTGTCTGTAGCATACGACCCCCAAGCCCATTCATTCCTACTGAAGACATAAATTGTTGGATTTTACAAACGTTTCACACATTGGTAATTTAAAGTCTCTCTTTTGGTCTTATCTGTGTGCTTTTGTGGGATTTCTTGACAGTAAGAAAATTGAATTAAAAAAAGAATATTGCCTGGTTTAAAACCGAAGCAATGTCTATTTTTGCGTTTCTATCCCCTCAATCGTCCTATGACCGCTGAGATTTTATTGCAACCTTTTCTGGGTGGCCCCAAGTTTGGGAAACACTGGTGTATAGTATTATAATGCACATGATGAAATGACTGCATGTAGATTTTTGAAATACTGTATATGAATCCATGTTTTTTGTGTGCAGGCACGTGCATCTGTCGTGACATTTTAAAGGGAAATTCTAACATTTTGAGTCGTAGTGTGATCATATCCGAGATTCTAAAAGTGACTTTAAGGGAAGGTCAGAAACTAATCTAATTTTCCTGTTTTGAGTGTGTGCGTGTATGCTTGCCAAAACCATGCCTCCTAAAGTAGCCACAGTAGTTTATCATTCCTCCCATTAACCTACCATTCACCTTTGCAAACACACCACTTATATCTTCTAAAATCCTGTGTGTAAGACCAAAATACTCTCACAAAATAAGTGGACACCCACTTTAGCACGCACAAGATATGAGAATATCTAGAACAGAAAAATGAGAGGAGTGGTTTTAATTTAAAGTGAAAAGTCTACCTCTACAAAGTATTGTTGTCTGAAGGGGATTCTTACCTGGCCAAGACATGTCATGGTGTTCCCATCCATCTTCTCACACTGGCTATCACACTCCAGGCACACAGATCCATTGGCAAATTCACGCACTTCCCTGATAGAGATAGGGAAATCGAGATAGAGATGCATGTATTATAGATTTGAGAGCGTACCCAGATTGAAATATTGATTAAGATCTTGCAGTGGGAGGATTTTCAAGTATGCTGTGTGCATACTAGCGCAAGCTGTACATAGCAACCTTTTGATTTTAAACCAATATGTGATACAGCATCAAGAAAGCAAGGTTATACCCTTCATTTACTGTTGCCCATCTCCACAATTTCTACTTGCACTGACTACTTGAGTGCCCTCTAGCAGAGGGGCATGCAGGGCAGCAAGCTGCCTAAGACAATTTGATCAAGTTAAAGGCTTAGTATGGTCAATATGTTAACAGAGAAGAACCATGAATAATGAACAGCTTTTTAAATCATAGGCAAACACGAGATGCGTGGAGGGAGGAGGAAGTGAGAGGAGAGCTGGTGCGCAGGAATGAGAAGGGAATGGCAGAAGAGGGCAGGGACAGAAGTTTGCTTTGCATGAGGTGAATGGGGAACTACAGAAGGAGTGTACAAGGAAGAAAAATGCTTAAGACAGGCAAGCATAGAAGAAAGGTGAGTCAGAGAAATTCATACTCTTATCAAATTCAAGAATCATTGCAGTTAATGCAACTGGTATGAGCTCTATACCAGTTTATTTAGCCAGTTAGAGTAATAAATGTAGTTCGTGATGATTTTGTTTTCCCACTTTGACTTCTGAAGGAGTAGAGGTAAACAATAGAGCTCAATATTGGGTTTATACACTGCAATTACAGCGGCAGGAGCTGCACACTGCCTTAGGCCACACTGTTGAATCCTTATATGTGTATATGGGTGTATTTGTGTGTGTGCATGTACCCGATCTATAAATTTCTCCCTTTGTTTGTGTCAGAATCAGCGCATTATCTTGGTTTTTTGAAGTGTGGCGTCTCTTGCGAGCAGAGGGTGGCTGCTGTCAATAACAACCGCTGCAGATCAAAAACACTTTTCACATCAGAGTGATCGATCAGCCGATTCAGAAGACAGATGTCCTCAGAGGAGGATTCACCCAGTTACAAACAAGCCCCCTTTTTCACAGCAGTGAGACAATGAGGGTGACTGTGTGTGTTTTGTTTGTATTTGCATGCGATGCTACTAGGCTGGAATAAAGATTCAACAGATTCCTTCCTCGTGAGCTGTTTTTTATGTGATCTTGCACTAAGAACTTTGGATCTCCTGCGGGTATGTGTGTTTTATGCATTTTCATGTGGTGAATATTCAATGAAAATCCTTTAGACTTGGTGGTTCTAAAAGCTGCAAAAAAGAAAAAAAGACATTCTGACACTCCTGCGTTCAACTGTATCACATTAAAGGGCAATAAAAGTGAAGATAAAATCCTAGATTTCCCTATTGCCAAGCCTTAATGTCAGGGCTTTTTTTTTAATGGTCCTAATGGTCTGTCGTGTTCACAGCAGTTCGTCTCAAATATCCAAATATACAGTATCACAGAGTGTCCTTTTATTAATAATGTTTTCGCTGGACTCAAAGGAAACTCCCATTGCTCTCTTTACATTTCTCCCTCGTTTTTCTTTCCCTTGTTCCAAAATAAATTAGATTTCTCTCCTGGAAGCTCTTTCCAGGGGAATCCTTTAGAAAAGGACCCAGGCAGTGGAGAGATATCTCTTTTGTTGGTTGAGGCAAAAAAAAATACATGGAGGAGAATAGGTGAGAGACAAAGACCTCGGCAGTGGTGCTCTCTAGGGTCATTTCCATTCTGTCAAAGCCGTTCCTCCTGATTGGCCCCCTTCACGGCTGAAAGTGTGCGCCAAAGCCCCACTGGGGGATGGCCTGATGGGGGATTAGCCCTGTTTTAGCAGGAATTTAAGCAGGACTGTGGCCACCATTCAGACCTCCAAACCTCCAGCAAACCAGAGCATGGCCAACCCACTAGAGCAACTTTTTTAATTAAACACTTTCAACGCCTCCCTAATCCGCTTCTTCCCTACTCCTCCAACCCCAGTGGACATCATCTCAGACGTTTTCTTTTCCCCTCTCGCGCTCCTTTGCTCCTCCTTTGTTTTATTCAACAGACGTATAAACTAAGGGGAATTAGTGCCTATCCTCATTAAGAATGGAGACATATAACAAGGGCGAGCTGAGGAATCTTAAGGTTTAAAACCACCAACCTGAGAACATATTTAACGAGCTACCACTAAATCCTATAGAGATATACAGACCATACAATAGATTCAGAGCAGAAAAGATATTATTATATATAAGTAAATATATGGTGCACACAGAACCCCACAGTAACATAACCCAAGATTTTTGAACAAGTCATTCATTAGACTGTACGAAACACAGCAATATGCAAACTGTACACATTGGTTGTAAATGTCTAGCTGTGTGTTTATGTACTACTAATGTATTGTCTGTATATATTGTAGAACAGCACAAAACAGTATGGATAGTACCCATTATTTATGTCAGGTATTTAGAAATCACATTAATGATATTGTGCCCTCCTTATATTTATAAAATGTGTCTCTAGGCAGATGATACCATACTGTCAAGAAATTCAACACTCAACCCTCACAAGTATACTATAGCAAGCAGCTTGCTTGTTAGATTTGTATAAATAAGTATCCTGCTATTTTCTCCAACAATTTACATGACATTTAATTTTTTTTTTTGTATCTATAGTATAATCTTGGAGGTCATATAATAAAGAAATCATAGTAACAGCAATAAGGAATTCTTTAAGAATAGCTAAACTCCAAAACCACTGTTTTCTGCTGATGACAGCATATGGGTATTTAGTAATGTTGTTGGTTTCAATTGAATCTTGCTATTGGATGATCAGGAATAGGTGACGTATGACTCTCTGTGTTTTCAGCAGAGACATGGAGAGTCTAACAGCAGCTGCTCATGGCTGGTTATCTCAGTTAGCTCTAGCTCTATGCCGCTTAGCTAGATTAGGGTGATGTTATATTGAGACATGCAGCAGCCACCACTCCTAAATCCTGAGATAAGCATTACCATTTTATCACTGGTGACAGTTATTGCACCAAACATTGCATCTTGTGGAAAAGAACTGACTTGCCCTCTCTTTTTGCTAGCCATAATGAGCAATGGTACTGTACATTGTAATTTACAAGAAAAGCTCTTATCAATAAATGACCATTCTATATTATATCAGTATTAGATTAGAACTCATGATGGTACTAAATCTACATGGATTTTGTCTTTGCACTGTGCTCAAGTAATTCAGTATTTCTTTATGTCTATGACAAATCAATTAGTGGCGGGATATCAGTTTTCTTCTATATTTAAAAAGACTAGTTAGAGGCAATTTGGACAAAAAATATTTATAGATTTTATTCTTATTCTTGGAATTAACTGATTTAAAGGCTGAAACTTTGCTCCCAGGGGTAAGGTAGAGGTAGTTGTGTAGTCTAATGCTGATGTTACCTCTTGCATCACACATTCTGTAGCTACAAGGCCAAGTCCTCTAAATAATTCTTTATGCTGCATTTTTAAGGTTTGCTGGGAGGGTTTAGTTTCACTTTAATCACTCAAATAGTTTTTTTGCGCTACAAATCAAGTTTTGTATTAACTTGAGTGAGATGGAAAGCATATAGTAGTATTTACCAGGGGAAAAATACAGGTTATCTAAGGTTTCCATCTCAAATTCTACCCTTTATCTGTCAAAGTCACATTGTACTTGGTGCTTGGCAGGTGGTGATTTCTTACACCAGGCAAACCTCTAGGTTATGGACATTATGATTCCAGAGTTCAGTCCAGTGACACAAAGCAAGAGGTGGGCCTGTCGAACGTTACTTGCGACGCATCACAGAGACTGACTGTATTTACAGTATAGGAAACAAGTGTGCTTCAGCAGCTCCCTGCCATGCGCCTCTTCCTCACCAGTCTTCTTCAAAGCCTTTGCTGTGAGCTGTTTTTCCTGGCAACTTCAAAGCTTCCCTCCCACAAACGGCACCGGGAAAGGACCAGCAACAAGTCAACATGACCGAGGGTTGCTTCTCGCTCTCACACACCCTCATGTGCACACATACGTGCACTCTCTCCTCTTCCCCCAGGGAAAACCCAAGCTTGACATCACTGCTTGCAAGAAAGTCATATTTATCTTGTGGCAGACGTAGCCGGTACAGCCTTATTTTAGATGGACACTTTCAAGTGTGTGATTCACAACATCTCCTCGTTCATTCAAGAGTAGCACAAAAGGCTAGAAACTACATCTACAATGAAGTGTTTCTCCCCAGGTGAGTTGGCAGTGATCTTTTTGATGTGCCTCTTGGCAGAATAAAGGAATGACCTGAAAGCAATTATTCACACTGAAAGCAGAACATCAGTAAATTGTGAGGACACTGTATGGGCCTTTGTTGCACATGTCAGTCATTTCCTAGATTAGAGCAGTAAACTCTCTTGTCTGTCGGCCAAAATGGGCAATTTGTAATGAAATATAATGCTTACAATATATTCAAATTGATTTCGGACAATGGATGTAATACACAGCCAAATGCTCATTTAATTGTAATTATTTAATTGTTACTGTTCACATTGGGAAATTCTGTATTGGTTCAATTAGACTCTCCTCCTCCAGAGCCCCTGAGATTGTTTTGACTTCATTCTCATGCATCAAAGCTATTTAAATTGATTGAATTTCATCTGGTTGTCATGTATGGTGGTTTGCAAGGGAATTAATGCAGTCTCCTGAAACCATAATGATCTGATATTCAGGAAAATGCTCATTCTATAGATTTGTGTTGGATCAGCTGAAATACACTACTGGACACTTGTAAAACATTTGCCCAGAATGCATCAAAGGAAGAAAAAAGAGAAAAACAGTGTTTGTGAATGGATTGCTCACCCATCAAAGAGGTTGCAAGACTCAACACAGATGCGGCCTCGTCTGAAATATCGGCAGGAAAGACACTGGTCAGGCCCCGGGCCCCAGCACCCGTCGTCTGAACACATCTGATCACACACCATTCGCTGCTGAGCTGTAGAGAGACAGGAGGTAAATAAACAAGTATAAAAACAAGCAAATATACGTGGTTTAAGGCATGAGACACACTACTACACTACTGTAGCCTACAGATACACACCCACACATGTTATGTAATTCAAGCATACTGGAAACATGATACAGTATATAAATTGCTCTGGATTGACCAATAATATACAGGGACAAAGTGAAATGTGTGTGCACATGCATGCATGTTTGTGTTGGTGTAGCCAAGAGCTTCACAGCTGTGTAAGTAGACATTGGTATTTCCCACATCTCTGCCATTAAAGTCCACCCCAACCAGAACCCTAAGCTCCTTTTTCCAGTCAAACCACAACAATCGATGCTGTTCATTGGACTCTGTGTGTCCTCCATCCGGTAAGTGACATCCACATCTCTGGAGTGTTGCCCAGTTGGGGGGGCTAAGCCCTTTGTCAACAGACGAACAGTCAATGGTAGACAGGGGCTTGAGCCTAATGAAGAGGCCTGTGTAAGCCCCTATCAATCGATCACACACCACACTCATTAAATGGCTAATGATGAGGCTGGATGGGCTAAGAAAAACTACAGTGGTCCATGTCTTTGTTCTCTAGTTATCTCTGTCTTTCTAACAGAGATTTACAGGTTGCCAAAAACAATAACACCATTTGCACTTATTTAGAAAGCTATGGTTATATTCTCTTCCTAGAGTCATATCTTCCCCTCTCTGTCAGACCTTTCCACGCTATCATTGAACAACACTATGTGGTCAATCTACACCATCTGCAGCCAAAGCCACATGTTGTTTGATAAAGGCTGTCATGGTCAAGAAGTGATACAGGAATGTCATTGTGTAAAGCTGGGTTGGAGTTGGAGTTATAGAGATATGTGTGGAGTATGGAATTAATTAGGGAAAAAATAAGAGAACAGGATAACTTAATAGGTGGTTTCCTTTGGCAGTTAAGGCATTTCCCTGCATGACTTGCAGGTGCATCAACATGGCGGACTCCCGCTCCCTCTGTAGATAAAAAAGGCTCATTCTAAGGTAATGAAAACACAAAGATTCTTATTTGCTGGTGACTATACACCTGCAAATAAGAATCCATAACATACCAATGAAAATTATAGTACATTTTGCCAATAGACATTGTACCTTTAACATGGCTGGTAGCACAAAATCCAAAGAGGTTTTCGATACCAAAAGGATGTTGACAAATTACTTAAACTCCAACTCCAATCCTTCAGAATGTGCAGATTTTGGCAAATGGAATCAAACTCCCCCACGACCACTTACTGCATTCCTTCGGATCTCGGTTGTTGCGGACAAGGACTTTCTGGCTCGGCGTCCTGAAGAGAGCCGTCCAGTTTACAGTGTTGTAGAAGCACAGGTGGCTGTTGTTGAAGATGTATACGTTTCCGGCGCTGATCTCGTCCAGTGACTGGAACTGAAGCGAGGATATCCAACGCTGCTTCAAGATCAACAGAGAAATGCCGCTTCCACTGCAGGAGAAGAAAAAAGAAGAGATAAATAATTAAAGGGATTATGAGAAAGATAAAGAGGAGGAATAGACCAGAGAGATAAGAGAATGAAGGGAGGAAGAGAATGTCAGAAATGGACGAATGGAGAAAGTGAAGAAATATAGTACAAAGAGAGAGGTGAGAAAGATGCAGAAGCTGGTTGCCGCAGCTCTTAATGAAACATTGCTGAGCTACAGGTTCATCACTGCCGTTTAGAAAACAGGGCTGGATCTCCTTTGACTATGCCAGCGGTATGCCTCGGATCTGCCAATTGTAAGTGGACACATGACCTGTTATCAAAACCGGGCTAAACAAAGCTGTGTGACGGCAGCACTTCAAAGTCCCTCTCTGCAGAACAACACGTGCCGATGGCTCATTAGCTCTGACAGTAGCCATCCAAATACAGGAAAACTAACTAAGAAATTAAAGGGAAACTTTGGTATATTCAACCAGGACCCTATTTTCCAATGTTTTTGTGTTTTAGTGACTGATGGGGGCAGCAATTGGCAGAAATTGAGCGAGAACGATGCAGCAGAATGCTGCCTCGACTGGTTAGTTTGTGTTTTGTGTGTGTTTGTGTGTGAGTCTGGTGTGTTATAGTGCTGAACTAACATGTTAAAACACAAACTAAGTAAATGATCGAGTAGACCAGCAAATCCCGTGTTCTGTGAGGTAAAATTCATACTTTTGTCAATGGAGTCTGGTGGCTTTGAGAAGAGCGATATAATGCCTGTTTTTGGTTACAGAGAAAAAAATCGTACTATATTATATATATTTCTATATCTAAAAATATAATCTCTGTGAGTCCTTTCCATTTGTAATCACAATGTGAGCCAGTCAGTAGCAAAAATAAACTCTTTTAGTGGATGTACAAGGACATCGTTTCAGCGCGTTTCGGAGCTGCCAGCTACAGCGCTCTCGCTCAATACTGGACCAATTTCAAGAATTATGGTCCCACATGTGCTACGTGTTTGAAAGTTCCATTTTTAGTTCACCAGAAAAGTTAGATGAAAGCCTCGGATTGTGTCAAATTTGTGTCTGAAATGTGATAAGGTAACATTAAGACATACCTGTAAAGAGATCTACCTCCAATAGTTGCCAGGTTCGAAAAAACACTCAGATCTGTCATGTTTTCAGGCCAAGACTGGATGTTGAGATAACCTAAAGAAATATCAGACAGAAGTACATGTGCTAATTAATGAACATATCTGAAGTTATCCACTGTTCTTTTTTGTGGTAATTACCACACATTGTAAGTTGTTTTTTTTGTTGTAAAAATTATAAAAAGGAGTTTGATGAAAAGGAATCTAGGGTGTATTTGATGAAGGAACATAAGAATCATGAGCAAGGGAATAAAAATCTCTTTGTTGCCTTCATTAAAAAAAAGAAAAAAAAAGCACTGCAACTTTTGGTCATGCACTTGCACTGCATTTGTGAAGTTCAAGCAAGAACCCATTCTTTGCAAGAAATGTGCTCAGAGAAGACAATATACACTAATTAAAAGAATGGATTTAATATTCTGCACAATCTGTCCGGTTGCACTTGCCTTTAATGACAGATTATATCAAATCAAGATCTGTGGAAATGACATTAAAAGGGATAGAGCAGGAAATGGCTGGGATAGAATGGCCATTGCTCTTTCTTATTGCCTGGGTTTTCATTATGAAAATGCAGTTTCACTCCATTAGCTGTTTGGCTCAACTGCAAGTCGCAGTTTAATATGACAAAAGGGTTTGTGTACGAGGTATTGCTCATCCCTTAAGGCCTCTAATAGTTAATGAATAAATACACTCACAAGCATGCGCACACACACACACAGCGGCACATACTGTAAGCACGTATAACTATAACTATCACATACACAAACACACACAGTTCACCAACAAAAATCTGCTTTCTACTTTCTTCTTAAAAGCTTTCTTTTACTACCTCAGTGGCCACATATTCCACACACACATACCACACAATAATAATGTTTTGTTCAGTTAGGTTATCCAAGGTGACTCCAGCAAAACAGTCTCACCTGTGATCTCTTTCACAGTGCGGAACACGTTAAGACGCTCTGGGTCCATAGGTCCAATGCCATGATACATGTCCCTGAAGAGAAAACACAAAGTAGACACACACAGAAAAGTGAATACTATCTTTAACAAAAGTAACATACAGATAGTTATAGTATAACGTTATTTATAAAACAGTTCTTAAAGTACAAACACTGTGAACCTGAAGGCACCATGAAGACAATATGTTCTTCATGTCAAAGTCAGAACAGTGTTTTCCTCTAATGTGCTGTGTAACATTCGTAGTTAAATATCATTCTTTTCGCAGAGCTTCGGGGCACTTTGACAGCAGTTTTTCATTGAATAGAGTACACTGACCTTCACAAACCAGAATCCTCTGACCCAATAGGATAGGAATGGAGAACTGTTTGTTAACAGGCCTACCTCTTTTAGTTTCATGCTCCTGTATTTCAAGCAATTAAAATTCCAGTCCAGTGCAATATTAACACTTGTATCCGAGTGATGTGGCTTTGCGTGGACAGTGTGCATGTTGCATTTCAATAACGGTGTTTCAAGGTGCAATGCTACACATTGCAATGTAGTCATTTAAAGCTGTTCCAATTCATATTTTTATATGAACAATGAAATAAATAACTATATGAAGTGTGAAAGGGATTGTCTATAGACAGTCAACAAACCTCCACAAAGACAATAGGGGCCTGTAGGCAGGATTGGGGGCAGCAAGGTAAAGTCAGGATTAATCCTGGGTTTTATATGTCCTGATGGAGGTTTGCTTCTTACCGGGGTTTATCGCCATGGTAACTTATGTTAAACAGCTAACCTACTCTGGAGCAGGTAATGTTCAAAATAGGAGATCAACTTCACTACTGACCAATGACTCTTGAACATCACTATTCATTGAAAATCCCATGGATGTATTGATTATTGATCCGTCGGGCCTTCCCTAATGACAGAAATAGATTCTTGTCGGAGGGACTGACTTAAATTATCATCCTACAAGAGACTGAAGCCTATAAGATATGAAAGTAAACCTACTGACCGCTTTGCATTACATCACATCGGCAGTAGCAGCAGTTAAATTTTTTTAATGAGCATATATTTTAGATGTCAAAATTAGGTTAATTATGAATATGTTTATCATAACTTTAGGTTGCATTTATATCATAATAGAAACTGGTCAACTCGAGCTGCACTGCTATACACAAATGACACGCCTCCATAATCACTAACCAAGTGCACCCTACCAATCTGGAGGTCTTTTTAAGCTGCAAAATTTCCCAGCTCTCCCTCTGCTCTGTCAGTGCTGCTGCTGCCCTGCATCAGTATTGCCCACCATCCCAGCATGCACCTGCAGACTCCGGCTAGGGGGCTCATCACTCCCCAATATCTAAAACATATCTATAAACATATCTGCAGGGAGTAATGAGGTCTGAGTGTAGATGCCAAAATCGTACTATGCTATACTGCTGTAATAAACATTTCAAACATGAGTTGATGTTGAAAAGTGGACCCAAAGCCAATGCAGCTGAAAGGTAAAAAAAATTATCATAAACACCGGAAAATACATCCAAGCAACATTATTTTAATAAAATACACAACTGTAATTATAGTCAGATCTACTCTAATGATAGGGAAGTTATATTATAAGCCTGATAATTGATGCATTCACACAGTTTGTGATTTTTTTGCCAGCTATTTTTTCCCCAGCATTCGACAGCTGCAACTGTTTTAGCCTGAGTTACATGTAAAACGTCTTCGTGTTTGTCTAAATATACTTTGCTCTTCACATGTCCATGTTTGTGTTCTGCAAACACCACCCCATTTATGTGAATGCACTCATAGCTTGATCGGGAAAACCCTGGGTTGACTCACCGAGTTGATAACCACCGCCATGTGAGCACTTAGCAAGATCTGGGATGTTAGGGTTAGCGAAGCCAGATAACTAAAAGATATCCCGGGTATGTTGAACTTGCTTCGTGTGTCCATGAGTTTGTCTGACATAGGGTTATGTAGAGAAAAAAACCCTCTGAAGGCATTGTGTGTGTGTGGTTTCAAGCTGCCACTTACCCTTTAATACCAGTAATGAGGAAGACGAGGTTGCCATTGATTTTGGTGCAGTTGACAAATTTTTCAATGTTGCTGGCATCCACTGTTTGAGCTGCTTGCAGGCTGCCCGTCCCTATGCCATCACACACTGATAAAACAAATGCAAACACACACATATCATCATATATTACTAAAAATAATTAACTTTATGTTGCTTTAGGCATGCATTACCCACTGTAGTGTATATCCAAAGTGACCTTGTATAGCAGAGACCTCGTTTTGAGAAACTGCTATTAGCTATTTGTCACTTTAATTCTTTCTACTCTTTTATGAAAATATACCCCTTCATTTGGTGCATAGGCAAGGCCACGGCCCCTCTGCATGCATTGGAATTCTTTTGATGAAAGCATTGGGCCAATCCACAGCCAATTCCTCCCTATAATGAATTCATTACATCTGCATTAATTACACTTGCGGTCTAGTGTGAGCCAAGTATTTCTGACAGAGGCGGAGGGGATGATGAATAAGGCTTGCATTAAGTGGTGTAACCAGTTTTTGATAGTGATTTATACCAGCCAATTCCATATCTGAAATGTTAATTTGTTATCATTTCCCACAGTTCCTTGGGCTATCCCTCATTAACCCCTCCCTGCTGCGTGACGATGTAATCAAGAGATTAGCCAATCAATGGATGCCAAAGCCCATACATAGAGCCTGAAGGAAAACACTATTGTCTTCCCTCGGAAGAGAAAGGGCAGATCAGTTACCTTTGTGAGAACAATATGATGAAGGGGCTAATCCTCTGTATTGAACTGAGGTAATGCTGTTTAATTTCACATCAGACATTGTAGGCATTTAACTAACACTCTCGCACAAAATGAGTTGTAATTACAGGTACGAGCAGTTTCTCGTTATGGGACCATTTCATGTTAATTAACACGTCGACTGTTGTGGTGATCAAACATGTGACCTTCCGTTTGTGCCATATTTGTCATATTTATCCTCCAATACATAATGAGTTTACAGTGGAAAATCATAGCAGTAATATGAAAATGGGGCACAATAAGGAGCAGCAAGTTCAACCCTTTGAAGGAATGCAGAAATACATGAATAACATGCAAAAAGAAGATTTTGTGTTTTTAAATAGAAGTCTTGTGACAATGTAACCAATGTTTTTACTGTGAAAAAATATGGCCCTACTTTCCACTTGAAAAAACACAGGGTGCAGAAGGTATTTTAACCTTAATAATCTGCATAAATTGAACTAACTTACCTTTTAATAATGAACCTTATAAAGAGTTAGGCAGGAAGTGGAGCTTAAACTGACCTGTTTGCTACTTTGGGGGATAAAAAAATAAAAATATCAGCTGTAAGTATATTGAGTGTAATATAAAAGCTAAGCTGGCTCCCGTAAAAATACATTTCATAAGATTTCCTATAAAGCTTTTAAAGTTATTCTTGTGGGCTACTGTTAATCCAGTATCATCACTGTTAGCATAGAGCGATTCAATTATCTGCATAAGCCCTTGTACATACAGTAAATGCAGTGCAGTGGGCCAGGAAGTGGGGGAAGCAGGGGAAATGGGTATCATTATAAAACTTTATAAAATGCTCAATTTTCCGTATAGCTTCCATACTACTACTTACATACTGAATTGTTCTACTGGCCTGAGTATCACGTGCACTTTGTTCTCCATGTACTATCCTACTGACAAAGTACCCAGAGTGTTGGTATGTACTGTAAAAATCTGTCTGTTGTCAGTGTATCTCTGCACTAAGACAAAGTTGACAATCTCACAAGGCAACAGTCACCAGTTATGAGTGATGAGTGATGCAGGCACTCCCTACGCCAATGGGAAATAAAATACATCATTATTCCTAGTTGTATGGAAACTGGAAAAAATGGAATCAGTCATTGCAGTTAAGAGTCACTCAAAGTGTCAAATTATGAAACATACTTATAGTACAGCCATCACACCAAACAATATGATATATGAACACCAAAACATTGATGTGTCACTTTTCACATATGCAAGTAAAAAAGTAAAAAAGTCAAAAGTGCTTTTAAATATTTCATAGAATTATACATTTTTTTAATTCAATCAAGTTATTCAGTGGTTCAAATAGGCCTGCTGTTGTGACTACCAACAGCTGTTTCCCTTGGGTGGAAAAATAGCCGACCAATCGGAGCTTCGTAGGCAGGATTATCAAGATGGAAGTCATCCTTGGACATAGCAAGCTACCCAGCCACATCCATGAAAAAGAGCAACAGAAAAATGCCCATAATAGCCTATAAGCATTGCTGAGGTTGACACAAGCAGGAACTTTTCACAGGGGTGGCCAGATGCCCCATCACTGAATATCATGGGGTGGCAGGAGTGTGACGCAGTGACGGACGTTCAAAAGTGGGTGGCTGGCAATAAATGTGTTATTTTCTTTCACATGAACTATTATGAAAAATAGGAAAAGGAGTAGTATTTCTTAATGACATCCCATGCTTTACCTTTAGGACAGATGTCGGTACAGGGGATGCACATTTTGATGCGGTTCTCCTCCACTTCCATCTTGTTGCTGGGACACGCTCTGACACAGGAGCTGTGGTCCACCACGAAATTATCTGACAGTAAACCAGAAACGTTAGTGCTGGTTGACGTTTGAGTCAGTTGTTTCATAGTGGAGAGGCTGTGATGATAAGTGGTACCACACACCTTTTCTTTAATGATTTTACCGCATAAATCATAGAAATCAAAGTGTAGCATTAACTCGTAGAACAATTTCCTAGAAGGACCCTTCTAATGGCGAGAAATTGATTGTATTTTAATCACGTTTGTATAATGATCAAAACTAATGGTCTAGGGCTATATTGCTCAGCAAAAGTAATGAATCAAATTAGTACTTGGTTGCGGCAGCAGAGAAGTGCGACTGGTGTGTGCTCATTTGATGATCAGTGGAACTTGAATATGCAATCTGTTGATGTAGCTTGACTTTTAATGTATGCTCCCTAAATGACTGCTGCACTCAGACTCCATATCCATGAAAGTAAGAGCAAAGACTTGCTTCCTTTTCTGCTGCCAGAAGCCGAAACAGATGGTGTAGAAACTAGTTGATTGAGATACACAATATATTTATGTTTGAGTAATTTATCTTGACTTGAAATAATGTCTGGAGTCTTATTACATGATAGATATAGAGGATAAATGCTTCTTCAATTGACACCAGTTCACAGACTATAAAACTTAATTATGAGCATCATAATGAGAATCTATGTTCTGGCAGTATAATGTTACAGTAACAATATCTACTTGCAGGATGTGCATGCAGAAAAGCATTTTGTTTGTGTACGACAACTTAAAGCACACTTACGTGGACATTTCTTGACACAAAAGGCTCCGTAGGTGTACTTGGCTCTGGGGTTGTGCTCTAGCTGAAAAGATGTGGGGTTGTACACGAACGGCTGTGGGCACTGGGTCACACATGCTCCGCTGTCGTTGAAATTGGTGCAAGCCTGCAGAAAGCACATAACCACAGTCAGCTGAAGGCAGAGGATACAAGCCAGACTTCCCATGGGGTTGCATGGAGTGAAACATCAGGCAAGGAGAGGCGTTGGGATTTTCTCACATAAGTCACTGTGAGTTAAAGTGTATTACAGCAGCATTTCATTTTTACGTGGGATAACATGCGGATCGCAACTGCCCCTTGTCTCTTTGAACACCAAATGGGAGAGAAATTGGAGCCATTGATCCACAGCCATGATGTAAATGGTGAAATGTTTTCCCATAAACCTCTTAAGTGTTTTGTCGTCTGTGGCCACAGGCTGAAACGGCAGTAATTGAATTGGATGAGCCTTTCTGTGAATTACAACTACAATATCATCCCCTGTCATTGTGTGCGCGTGTGTCGTGCACCAGTTTACGAAATAGAAAGAACTTGAGGTGATAAAAGGGATACTAATTGGAACACTGAATCACCAATTTGTTCTTTGAAGAGCGTCGCTGCATCAGACTTTTACAGCCCCGTAAAATGACAAACAATTTATCAGCTGGTAAACAAAGTGTATCATTTTTGGACGGGGAGGATGACAAACAGATGTTCCACAAAAGACACGTGTAATGGAGGATGATGAGGGTCTTTGGGTGTGTGTGTGTGTGTGTGTGCGTGTGTGTGTGTGTGTGTCCTGGAAATGAGAGAGAAAGGAAGCAAAAGAACTTAAACTAAAACTTAAAGAAAGTTAAGAAGGAGATATAAAGACGTCAACAGCTTGTGTGTTTGTGTGCACTCTGACGTACAAAGCAGTCTGTGTCCTTGGGGCCCGAGCAGCCGCCGGCGCACTCGCGATGGCAGCAGTCGCTGACGTAAGGCCCGAAGCATCGACCGTCACACTGCTCTGCACACACCGTCTTTGTCACTGCCGAGGAAGTGAAAAGAGAGAATTTTAAAGGTCCAACACACACATACATGCACAGTCACCCTCATAAAAAGAGACAATACCACCACCCTCAACCTTACACAAACATTGTCTGATATGGAATTCAAGCAGAAACAAATTAGGGGCTTCAGCAACCTAAAGGTCGGGGGAAGTGGGTTTGTAACCACAAGGTCGCTTGTGTTTTTGTACATACGGACACAAAGAACCTCCATCTCTCAACAACGACTCTAGAGGAGCCCCTGAGCAGGTCTCTTATCCTCCAGCAGATTCCAGGTACTGGTCTAAAGTGGCAGGTTGCTGGAGTGAGCTCAGCTGGTTTCCGCTACATAAATAAAGTTGGGGGAAAAAAAGTTCTATGGCACTGGACCTCTCTGATTCACCATATCTGTGTTTAGACCATGGGTGTTTTCAGCCAAATGGACCAATCAGCCAAAGAGACCTTCCAACTGTGCTGATAATTCCTCAAAAGCCTGGCTTTATTCGTTGCCATGCCAACTCGTGTGGTAACCAGGGAGCTGCCTAACTGTCCCTCCTGCGTTTTCTACTTTAAAGGAAGCTGTGCTAGTCAGCGTTATTAGTACAGCACCAATACTTGGATGTTGCTCCTACCTATGGCATCAAAAGTTGCTCTAATGCTTGCGCTAAAGAACAGCCTCCTACACATTATTGGTACAGTAGGACATATACCAGCCAGCGAGTCAGCAGGAGCTCCAAGCTGAGGCATTAAAAACTGCTGTGCTCACTCTCTGCTGTGATGGGAACATAATGATGTACCAGGGAAAAAAGGGCCCGTAGTCTATTAGTCTGTGAAAAACAGCCCAGTCCCTCTCTAGATCCTGATGGCATGAATAGAACAGTAGAACTGTAATTGTACAGAAAACTAATATTTCTTCCTCTTTTGTCTTTGCACTGTTTCTCTCCATTAGATTATTTCCATTTCATCTGACTCTTCTCACTAGAGCTACATAAAACACCGTAACACATGGATGTGACCTTAATATTGGTCTTTGACCTCAATAAAATAAGATAAACAGCTAAAAACAGATGGGTGCCCAAGTACTCACAAAGCCAAAAATATATATATATAAATCTCCACAGATTATAGCAGATTATAGATTATTTTAAAGCAGATCATTGAGTACAGTGGGTCACCCTGTCATAAACTAATCAAAGAATAATATTATTTCTTCCTGGACTTCAGTGTTGTGTTCCACTGATTTACTAAATAGGTTATGCTAATTATTTGGGATTTAAGTAAATAGTTCATCATTTGGGGAATTTTTTCTGACAGGGACTGTTAGCCTTGTGTGTGTACAGAGCTTGAGTAAGGATTCAGAAAAAAAAAAATGAGAATGCTTAGCCTAGCTTAGCATCAAGACAGAAATCAAGGGGGATAAACTAGCCTGGTTTTGTGTAAAGTAGGGTCAGGGAGACACAGCTAGCTCTGTTCAAAGCTGAAAGAAATGCCTACCAGCACTTGGTGGCTTCCTTGAGTAACTGTAGTGTGTGTGTGCATACTCACAGGTTTGACACTGGTCTTCCTGATGGCCCCAGCAGCGTCCGTTACATGAGCGATGACAGCGTCTGCCTGCAGAACACACAGACAAACACACACACACACACACACACACATCAGATAACTCATCAGCAAACTTCAGCTGTAGTTTAGACACTAACACGAATCAAGACCCAGCCCCCTCACACACCAAACTCCTAATCGTCCACTCACGCACACCCTTAAAACTTCACCAACTACCGACAGTGACATATCTGTTGAATCTCCTTCGCTCATACGACAATAGACCCAGAGCCACTGCGGCGACTTGTGGCCTGTAGAGAACATAAGCATGAAAGACAGGCTTCTACTCCCTTCCGTCAGGCGCTCACACAGGCAAAGTGGGACCTGACAGAGAACTCGCAGCCTTCATGCTGCCAGTGCCCCATCATCAAGACTTAATTGACTATGGGTTAATTACAGAGTAAGTGGAACAGTGCAGCAGATTGTCACCCAGCCCCTTCAACCACTCCCACTGTGGGGTTGTTAATGTTAAATACTAACTACGACTTGGCAAAGGCCCCCAATTTGGCAACCTCAACTCCCACACGCTCTCTTGTCATTTTTTGGCCCACCTCCTCTGTTCTTTGTTGCTTTTCATCCTCCTCCTCTGTCAATGCCATCTAATCAACAAAATAGCAATGTTTTACACATATTGTACTTAAAAGCGTCTTCTCAAGCCTTTATTTCAGAGTAACCCGCCTTGCACAATGTCTAACTCCCTGCTGATGTTGAGTCTATGCAGATTTTGTTCTGCTCAGACTGTAAGCAAAGAAAGGTCATCATGCCTTTCCATCAAAGAATCTCTCAACATTTCCCCCATTGTCCATGTCTTTGCTCGCTATTCGACGACTATTGTTCACTATGACATGTTTTGATACCGAGGGCCCAAAAGAAACTTCTACGCTCTCCCTGTCACTCCCTTAGAAAGAGCAAGAGGCTCATCCATAAATGTGCAGAAAAGTTTGAGAGAGACTGCCTTTAACAGCCAGTTCTTCGGACACAGAATGTCCGCCGGATAGCGACGCCTGTTATGTCCGAAGCTGAGGGAGCTGAGGGACTGCAGGGACCACAGAGGGGGGCGGGCACCAGGGGAAGTGGGCAGTTTTAAACCAGCTGTCAGATTCACTGAGATTTACAAAGAGCACAGCAGCTCCATGGGCCTCGCTGCAGAGCCCCTACCATACCACTACAATGGAAAGGTTCACACGTTGATCTAACACTATGTGATTTTGCTTCCAAATGACTGCCAGGCAAACAGAATAAATAAAAAGGGATAGGGCATGACTGCTGCTGGTAGGGGGAGTGTGTGTTTGTGTGTACTTCTGCAGTATGTTGGCATGCGGGTTGCCCTCAAAACAATTTTTGATTTTCATCCAAAGTTACTGGTTCCACTGGTTTCCACCCACATGCGGTACTCACATCCGAGGTTGCTGTTGTTGGATGGTACCACCAGCAGTTCAGCCTGGGGGTTCTTGATAATGTCACGCCAATGGATGGTGTCCGCATGGCACAAGAATTTGTTCTGGTCAACGTAGACACCCCCATTCAGTATCTCTGCACAGGGAGAAAAAAAAAGATGGAAGGAGAGAGAGATGAGCTCATAGATGTGGATATATAGTACATGTACATGATGGCAGAAAATCAATACTTCAAGGTTAACTCCAATCCTTTGCCTCGAAGTGCCGGACTGCGTAAGGTGTTCCCTGAAGTGCATCTGAGCATGAAGATAAATGCTATTGACAAATGCACGCAGTAATTCAATGCCAGGTCCAAAGACAATGATGTTTCATACCAAACAAGTAAATGGATTTTGCTATGTAAACAAAGCAGCCTCACTTTTGAAAAGAAGTAAAAACTGTACGCTGGTATAATTTCCTAATTATGCATTGAGTATTAAATAATTTCTTTTAGCTTGAGAGTTAATGAGTTTGAATGTCACTGGCAGGCACAAGATATTTTATGTGTTGATTTAAACTGAAATAATAAACTGCAGTGGATACATAGCTTCCTCAAATCCTCATAGAAGGATACTGTCAATGATAAAATAGGTAAAATAAATAGCAGATGTGTTTAGACGTATTTACATCTTGCAACTCGTTGATTTCTGGTTGTGGAGTAAAAAAAAAAACGTTTTGGAACGTGTTCAATATTTTATTGTTCCACTTTTGTCTTCAATAGATCTCTTTTTGCTCACAAAAGGCCTAAATCATCAAACTGACTCAGAGAAAATGAGGGATCACAGCTCTCTTGACCTACTCCGCATCCCTCTATCAAAGTGAGAGCCGACGCACCAAAGACAAAGGCGGGCACCACGTCTAGCATTTGCTTAATAGCAAAAATATGTTTCTTTTCAAGGACCAGTGCCCTTAACAGATGCCTGCGCATGGAGTGTGATAATAAATTCTAATCCCTCTCCCTGCTACTAATCCAGGTTTTGGATATGGACACAGAATGAAATGATGTTGCTGTAATCTCCCCCTCCCAAGCCATGACCCGTGGCAGAAGAGAAACAACATCCAACATCAGTGTCTCTTTCTCTCTGGGACACTGGCTGACTGTATTATTCAACCTAGTTGAGGGATTTAGATACAATCACCTTGCATATCTTTCTCCTTGAATATGAAGCACTGCCAGATTCCATGAAAGTACATGTCATAATAAATTAAATTTAATATGAAAAAAGTAACAATGTGGTTCAGATCAGGACTGGATTACCTAAAAGTAAAGAAGGTTATTATCTCCCCAAGCAGATTATTAACAGTGTATGAGTTATGCGTACAATTCAGCAGCTGAGAAGCACACGCAGGAAGCTAATCATTACCATCCGACACCCTGATTAAGGAAGTGGGCCTTGGTAGAGACGGGGACATTTATTCAAAGCCCTCTTAGAGGTGACATGGCGCTCCGTCTGCCCGCTGAATGGCCTACAGCGGCGGCTTCATGTAATCATGTTCCCGTCACAATGGACGATTTATTAGGGGGTGTTCTACATTCATGGGTGGCGGGTGAAAAAAGGGACAGGCTGTGCTTTATTCAAATATCATGTGGACCACGCTGACGGCACACTTTGATGTCATTTAAAAATACTAATGAGATAAGCAGCAATTCATTACCCACTCGACAGATTTCTGACATAACTGACAATATATTCAGAAAGCATATAATTAAAGTAACTACAGCAGATGTGTCAATATGTGTGTTTCCTTTAAACCACCACTAGATTGTTATCTGGTTTCCCTTGAGTCACCTTGACACGATACAGGGCACCACTATAAAGTGCCCCTACACTCCTCAAAAGATCCCCCAGCAGACAACAGACAAAGGTCAACTTGGAAAACACAGGAGATGTAGACCACAAGGTGCACACACCCACAGTCTCACAAAGCCAGCAATTTTAATTTAATTCACTGGCCAAACCAGGCCCTTTTTGGGACAGGCGTCTTTTCAACTCTTGATGATGGATAAGAGCTCAGCAATGACATTTTTTTTGCACTTCTTTGGGTTTAATGATAAAACTAGAGAAAACATTCTACTCGGCAGATATTGTTTCTCATACACAGATGCTGAAGATTTGTTCAAAGTTTTGTTCAAAATGTGCAAATAAACAAATGAGGCTGATGGGAATGGCATTAGTGTTGCAGGTTTGGTCATAAACCAAATAATTGGACAAATTAAAAAACAGATTTTTGCAAGACAGTCTCATTCCCTGAGGGGAACATAAATGTCTGGACCAAATTTGACTATTTCAGTCTGAAGTCCCCCCCCCCCCATTGTTGTCTTCTGACACTATTTTGCAATGGCGCTGTCTGCTTTAAAATACAGGCAAGCCAGCAGTTTTTTCCCCTTACACCATCATACTGGATTCAGCCAGACCTTCCTCCAGTGCTAAAATAAAGTGTGGAGAAAGGTCTAGCTATGCAAGACTACTGGATATTTGACATCTTTGACCTGTTGGTGGCGCTAGAGGAAAGGTCAGAAGATCACTAAAGTAACAAGGATCCATCCTTTGGGCAACAAAGATAAATGTACCAAATTCTACAGCAGTTTATCTATCTAGCTTTCCGGTATTGTAATGTAGCGGCAAATTGGCTATTAAAGTGCAGGCTTCAAACACGTAAAAGTAAACTAGAGGGATATACACCTAAAACGAAAACCAACAATATTTTGAGTTTAAGTTTTAACTTTGAAATGGCTTAACTTTTAAATTGCATTTAAAAGTCTCACCTTTGACAAAATGACAATGACAAAATAAGAAAGCATTTTTCATAAAATTTTTGAAGTAATAATTTCTACACTTGAAGCCTTTCAGGTATGACAGATGTAATCCATTTTGCTATTTTATGTGGAGCGATCTTTCACTTCAACCCGCCCAGCACTGTCCCAAATGCTCTTTTGAGTGCCTGCGTCCAGATCCCCCCTGCTCGCTGCAAGACAAATTGCCACCTCTGCTGTCCATCTCGGCAAGGGCACTAACTCTTCCAGCGGAATGACAAGCCTGTATTGGGTGGTCATTCAATAACTTGCGACAGTCATGCACTAAGGCCCATCCCTCCTTCCCACTCGTCTCTAGTAGCCCCCCCCCCAGTTCCATGCTTCGATCTTTCCATCAGGAGAGGGAGATCTACAGCCGACCATCCGCCACTACACCACAGACACCCACCCAATCCCCTCACCCTCCACACTGCTGTGAATTATGAGGTAGTCATAAAAACTATTGTCCTGCATCAGAACAAAGGGGGGGGAGATAAAGAGGGCAGTAGAAGGGAGGGAATCTCATTCTAAGATAACAAAAACATAACAATTCTTATTTTCAGGTGATTATACAATAATGAAAACATGCCTATGAACAGCGATACCATTTTATGTGTGTGTGCTGAGGCTACGCTGCCATATGCTCTGGTCATGTTTGGTTCAAGACATGTCTCCAGTGGAGCTTTTTGCTACATGTCTCTTGGCTGTGAAACAAAGGGTCTCGCTGTGGTGGAGGAAAAAAAAAATCTCACTGAGCTAAAGTTGGAGCGTCATGTAGAATCAGTGATTAGATTTGATGTGGAACTGTGCAGCAGGATATGAGGTGATCACTGGAGGAGGAGAAAATGATTGGGAGAATCTTATCATATAAAACGGGAAAAAGATCGATGAATGAATGAATTACTTTATTTAATAGCACCACTCATGAACTGCATTTACTGTCTTTGGGCACTGTGAAGGTACATAAAGGAACCACGCAAAAAAGGAAGGACTAGATGGGGCTTTATTGCTAGAAATGTATTACAAACCCCTTCAAATTAAACTGAAATTAAGAAACGAAACCAAGATACTGGGTTGCCACGTGCTCCCCACCACCAACAGCTAATCACATTTGTACCTTTTCCGCCTCATCTAAATGAAAATTCCCCAATTTGGTTAGGTCTTTTTAGGTTTATTGTTTAGCTCAGTGGTTCCCAACATTGGGGTGGGGACCCCAACATGAGGTCATAAAACAAATGCGTTACTGAAGAATGTTAAGCTTATTTTTTATTCACTGTTTGGCTGCACTGGTCACAAGTATATACAATATACATCAAATGACAAGGGGTCTTAAAACTAGGGGAGGTAATGTTCGAGAAACTAGCAAAAGATAGCTAGATTTAAGAAGCATCAAACCGAAAATACCCCACCCTCTCCCTTCAGGCCTTCTTCCAAAGCCACTATTTGTCTAAAGCCAGTATTGGATTTATTGATTGTTGATTGATTATTGTCGTTGGGATGTAAAGAACATTTCAACAAATATAACAAAAATGCTTCTGTAATATTACCTACTGTAGCTTTAAGTTGATATTGCTTTTTTTGAAAAGGTCAAAAGCCAAAAAGCATGAAAACTTCTGGTTTAACTTACAATCAAGCTCAAATTGAGTTTGAGCACAGAGTACAATATCAGATACAAATAGGAATAAACTTTGTCTTATTATCCTCGGCTATTTCACTGTATGTCAGGACTGGGTGATCTTTCCATCCCTGGTCATTCTGATGCTTTGCCAATTATAACACTGTAGAACACAAATAAAACTATACAACTGAAACAAGCTTGTGGGCTGACATTAAAGCTGATAAATTAACTAATTAAAGGGCAAAACACTGGTCTGAAATTAATGACTTAACACTTGAGGAAACCTGGTAATGTTGGGGAACAGGAAGTAACCTTTTCACACTCATTGTATTACATTCATATTTTGCATTTGGCAATTAGCTGCCACTTTCACCCACAGAACAAACAGTAGGGCCATCAGCATAGGCTTTAACAGAAGCACCCAAGAGTGCAAAGAGAGTCAGGGTGCCCTTACAATATCCCTGTGACCCTTGAGTGATTATATAGAGCTATAAAAAGAAATTAAAGCTACAGAGTCATTTTTAAAACCTCAAGTAAGAGCAAAGATTAAAATTTTGAGAGTCAACGTGGTACGCCATTGTGATTATTTATTTGTATTGTGTGTCACACACCTTCAAAATAGAGTCCAGACCAATAAGTGTACGGATTGTTAAGGAAGTAAAATGGTCCCTGTGCCAAGCTGCCT